CCTTTCAGGTTTCTAGAAGTACTGAAGGTAGGTGGGACAGGGTAGTAGCTGGCAAGAAAGCCCCAAGGAGAGGACATGAAAGTGTGAACCACAGGGGACTTCCTGATGTCATAAGTGCCTCCAATACAGCTAAAGTTCATATTTGGTGGTGGAGCTATGCAACCTGGACAGGTGTAGACTTTTGCAAAAACAATTAAGTTTGTGGAGCCCCCAGCCATATCATGAACAATTCCTGGCCTGGGCCAGTCAGTCAGCTGACAGCCATTGGCTTCACCTTGAGCTTCTGTGATTGGGTCTGTCCCTCCCTCACTCCTGCCCCACACCACTGGCAACTTCTGTCATGACAAGCCTCTGAAGCTCTCTCTGTGAAGAGTCAAACTCATCAAAATTCTAGGAACAAATGCCCACAAGCTTCAGGACAGCTTACTTCTGGGCAGTCAGCTCAGCCACACAGGGCTGTCCAGGTGGAGGTAATGAGGCAGATGACCAGGCCCCCGACCTGGTAGTAAAGGCACAGGTAGTACAGGATATTCTAACATACATTTCAAAATAGGACCATGTATTAAGAAGTATTCTCCCACATTTTTATAATTTTTTTTTTCCGGTCCTGGAGCTTGAGCTCAGGGCCTGGGCACTCTCCTTGAGCCTCTCTGTGCTCAAGGCTAGCACTCTACCACCTGAGCCACAGCATTGCTTCCCTTTTTCTGTGTATGTGGTACTGAGGAATCAAACCCAGGGTTTCATGCGTGCTAGGCAAGCACTCTACCACTGAGCCACTTTCCCAGCCCTTTTTGTAGTATTTTAAAAGCTATGTGTGGTGACACATACCCATAATCCCAGCCTTCAGGAGGCCAAGAGAGAAAGATCTTGATGTAGTCCAGCTAGGACTACATAGTATGTTTTTTGAGAACACGTCTTCAGTATTTAAAATGATCTCTAGTCTGTCTCCTGGAGCAGGTGCCACAAGCTGAGAGCACTCAACCTTTTGGAAGTGTTTCTTAGGCCATGTGTATAGATGGAAGAGGGGAGGCAAGTCAGAGGGGGCTGGATATGAAGGGCTGGAGGATGGCGATGCCACTCGACTATCTGGCTTTTAGAGACACTGGGGCTGAAAGGCCCAGAAAGGCCATTCATTGAACACCAATGCCTAGCTCAAGGAGAGCTAGAAAGGCTCAGCTTCAGAGAAATACAGACGATAGCCTTAGGAAAGCTTTGCATAGAAAATGCTCCAATTCTGCTTTGATTACCTCCCTAAGTGGCTTGAATCACTCATCTCTGAGTAATCTCTAACAGTTCTGCTGGTACCTGAGCTTGTACCTGAGCATGTCCATGTAAGGTCTGCTTTAGTTAAGGCTTGGTCTCCACCGGAGCCTGTGGTTGTCGTCTTTAAAAGCTTTCGTGCAAGCTTTGTTCAGGCTGCTGGTCTTTGTGACAGGAATCCACCATGCAGTACCAGCCTTTTAATAAACCTCTCACAATGTGGCTTCTGTTTTCTTGCCTTCTAACAGCTCCTGCACGGGTGGGGGAGCCCAGACACTTCCCAATTTGGCTCATGAGAAGGCAGCTCTCCTCCTTGTGGCCAGGGCATTTCTGGGGCACCAGGCAGCCCCCACTGCTCTATGAGCTGAGGGGTAATAGTTGTTCACGAGACCATTACTTTGTATTTTGAGGTATCTTTGGCTTTTCACTGGCAGAGACCACTGTGGGATCTCTCCCAGCTTTGGGATCTGTGCCAGTGTTGCAGAGAGGCGGAAGGCAGTCCTGGCCCTGTACGGGACCTGGAGTGTGCTGCCAGCCCAGCAGGCTGTGCCTGGCAAAAGAAGGTGAAGTGAGGAGGCTGAGTCTAACTACTCACTGCTACTTGGTGCCTTGCTGGATAGAGGGGGCTTTCCACCCATCTCTGAAAAGCCTAGAGGCGAGACAGGCCACTCATGGAATTGCAGACGTCACGTTGTCTAGCCTTCTTTTTTTTTTGGGGGGGGGGGGGGGGGTCCGGTCATGGGGTCTGAACTCTGGGCCTGGGCATTGTCCCTCAGCTCTTCAGCTCAAGGCTAGCGCTCTACCACTTGAGCCATAGTGCCACTTCCGGCTTTTTTCTTTTTGCTTATGTGTGTGCTGAGGAATCGAACCCAGGGCCTCAGGCATGCAAGGCAAGCGCTCTACCACTAAGCCACCTTCCCAGCCCCGTTGTCTAGCCTTCTAAGAGCTTGTGCTACACAAAGAAGGCCGACTGGCCTTTGGCTTCACTCACCTCAGAGGATATCCCCCTACATGGAAAGGCTGAGGCATATCTTCCCTAGATGGAAAAGGTCTGCTGGTACCTGAGCTACTTCCTTATATAGTTCTGAAAGTTCTGCTTGCACCTGAGTATTTCCATAGGTTTGCTTTTGTTAAAAGCCCCAAGCCTATGCTTTTTGTCTTTAAAAGCTTGGTGCAGGCTCTATTTGGGGTACAGGTCTTGGTGACAAGGGTCAACCTACAGATGACAGCTCTCCAATAAAGACTCCCAGTTTGATCGCTTAAAAATAAGGCTTTTCTGTTTTCCTGCAACCGAGTTATGGTACAACAAAGGCAAAAGAAAATGGGTGAACAGTACCTGTCCTAAATGATATACGAGAATCTGTTTATAAGAAAGCCACTGCTGACTGTCCCAAAGACCTGCAGCCCATAAAGTAGCTAGCACAAAGCTTTTTTTTTTTGGCCAGTCCTGGGACTTGAACTCAGGGCCTGGGCACTGTCCTTGGGTGTCTTTTGCTCAAGGTTAGCACTCTACCACTTGAGCCATAGCACCACTTCCAGCTTTTTGTTTATGTGGTACCAAGGAACCAAACCTAGGGCTCCATGCATGCTAGGCAAGCATCTACCATGAAGCCACATTCCCAGCCTAGCACAAAGCTTTTTTTTTTTTTTGGGGTCCGGTCATAGGGCCTGAACTCTGGGCCTGGGCGCTGTCCCTCAGCTCTTCAGCTCAAGGCTAGCGCTCTACCACTTGAGCCACAACGCTACTTCCGGCTTTTTTCTTATGTGGTGCTGAGGAATCAAACCCAGGGCCTCATGCATGCAAGGCAAGTGCTCTACCACTGAGCCACCTTCCCAGCCCTACACAAAGCTTTTAAAGGCAAAAACCACTCATTTGGGGTGGGGTCCAGGCCCAACAAAAGCAAACCACATAGTGAAACAATCAGAGGTGGGCATACATCTAAGGGAATAATTGGATGAGCATTCTTTGTAGCAAAATCTTCCTGGGGCTGAACAGCATGACACACCTGCATATTCTCTGGAGCAGATCTTTCCTGAAGCTGGAGAACAAGATGCATCTGCAAATCAAAGAATGGCCTTTTGGAGACTGGGTGCAAAGCCTCCACCCATCAGGGTGGCAAGACAGCAGTGAGGGCAAGGCAGTGCTGCATAGACCCAGCACCCTTACTTCGCTTTTGCCTCAGAATAGTGAAAAGGATTCCATGAAGGCCTTTCTTCAAGTGTTTTACCATAGGAAACTAGAAAAGGCTGAGCCTGAGCAGGAGTGGAGTGGGTGAGGAGTGGAGAGGCAAAGTGTGGTAGAAGGGCACTGTCAGCGAGCCGGGATTGGCAGCATGCGCCTGTAATCCTGGCACTCAAATACTGAGGCAAAAGAATGGTAAATTCAAGGCCAGCCTGGGCTGCAGTACAGGTGACACCATCGCAAAACAGAACAAACAAAAAGCTTAGGAGAAAAATTCTGGAGCTCCAGCTGCTGACTAGGAGACAAAGCCCGCTCCCAGGGAGCCACAGCCCGCACAGCAAACCCACAGGGCCTGGAGTCTGAACTCTGACAGTTAATAATGTCAGTATCTTGTTCTGATGGGTCCTCTGTGACCAGACACAGCTGCCCTTCTCAATCTTTCTGGTACCCTTCAAGGCATTCTCAGCCTGGCTACATCACCTGCATGAAAACAGATGGCTAATTTCCTTCTTTGGTTAAAACAAACAGCTTCATTAACCTACTCTTCCAAACAAGGCAAGGGCTTCCCTGGAAGCCAGGGCGAGGCACAATGGCTGGACTCTGAAACCAGGGAGCCTCACCACATTTAACTCCTGACCTCAGCTGTCCAGGAAGCTGGCTAGGGTGGACTGACTGACTGGGCCAAAGTATGGATATGCCAGCAATGCCCTGTCTAACCCTCTGCTTTTTATTTAAGGCCAGAGTACATGGAGTGATGGATGATTGGTCAGGACAAAGCAACTTTGAAAGAACATGGCTTTCAAGATCCATATTAGGAGAACCTACAGTGGGTCAAACATTACGCATTACTGTGACTAGGGCAGAATGTGGTAAAAGTATAGGACTGTGAAAATCATTTTGAAAACAGGCTGAGTGAATTCCAGTGCTAAATGATTATACCTAACACTGGTACTATACTTACAAGCAGTGACTATAGGTTGTCAGAAAACCACAATGCCACCTGACTCACTAAACCATTTTTGCAGTACATATTAATTATTTAGGTAAAAAAGTTAATAGTTACCAAACTCTCATGAATTAGGCCCACTGTTTTTTCAGTCTCGTAAAATTTGACATTTATCTTGTTTCATAGGTTATTTCCCCATATCAAACACCTCAGATTACATTGGGCACACTATCTAGTCTTGAGCAAATGCAGAAACTAACTGGGTAACCTTACAATGTTTAAGTGTTCAGGAACAGAGACCTAAAAGTGACCTGTGCACACACAGTCGCAGCACCAGGAAGATACATGCCCCTGGACCAAGCGAGCAGAGCCCCTGGACCACAGGTAACTCAGTCCAAGTAAACTCAGGTGGGAAGAAAACCAGAAACAGTTGATTACTATTTTATGTTAGCTTCCAAATAAGTTAGAGAAAGAATCAGCTGTACACACTATAAAATGATACAAACTTGTACTTTACTTTGCTAAGTAGCCTAGGGTAGCCTCAAACTGACAGTCCTGCTGGGATTACAGGTATGCACTACCACCCCATCACCCCCAGCTAAGGCCAAACGTTTTTATAAGCACGTTTTATTCAAATCTTACAAACGATCATTTTTAGAAAATGTTACATTTATCCTTGGACATAATATTCATAATTGGCTTTCAAAATGAACTCAAAATATGGGTTGGATTTGAGGCTTCCAAGCTGGTCTGCTTGCAGCAGGTCCTTCACCTCTGGTAAGTACTCATTGAGTTGAATGCCTGCAAAGAGAGTCAGTTCTGAAATTCCTCAAGGGAGTGCAGGTGACTCATAAACACACTTCTGTTTAGGATCTAAGTATTACACTGTTCCTGAGGTTTCTCTATTACACTGGGCACAGCGCCCTCCAGAGGCCATCCGGGGTTTTCCCAACGGACAAAACCACCATTTCAGAGAGGTCTTCAGTAGATCTGAGACAATGTCATTTGTCCTAGCACTTTACAAATGCTTCGATGTAGACCTTAGAAGCCAACAATCATTTGAAAACAAGTATTCTAAGAACGTGTTCCCTATTTGGGAAATAATTTAGTAGAAATGAGATCTTGCTATGTAGTGCAAGGTGGGCTCAAACCTTCAGCCTCTACCTCCCCAGTGATGGGATTATTTATATATGTGCTGTCACACCTTGTTAACATCTTTTATTTACATAAATGTTTCAATTGGTGTTGACCTTTGTATCTTTTTTTTTGTAAAGTCACAACATTAGTCTCTTTTTCCATTTTATAATATAATAAACCTCATAGTCATCCTTAAAAACTAATGTCTGACATTTCAACACAATTCAGTTCTATGGCACTTTTACTGGAAACATAGGACGGAAAGTGTACGATTTGGATTCAAATGCTTTCCAGTAATTTAGCAGCTCTGATGGAGAGTGGTTCTGGCAAGCACATATCCAGAAGTGAACACGTCCATATAGCCATATCTGAATTTTTAGCCCTTTCTGTATTTTCTTTTGCTATATCCCTCTATTTTTAAATTTGACAACAAGATTTAACTAATGTTCCTGTTAATTCTAATAAATTACCAAAAAAGATAGAAGTTTTGGAACTGTGGCTCAAGTGGTAGATTGCTACCCTTAAGCACAATAAGTTTAGGGACAGGGCCCAGGCCCCATGTTCAAGTCCCAGGACTGGGAAAAAAAAGGAGCAATAATTCTAGACTTTTAGCATTATAGCTAGTGTTTGTGCCTACAGGTGGCCGTGCTACCTGGAGAGATGGGTGACAAGACAGGGACACATGGCTTTGTTCTGACATATGCTTCTCCAAATGCAGAGGCAAATGTGTGACTATGGAGATGCTACTGCTGCATCTCGCACTTCCCTGTCATCTGACATCTTGGTAATAATCATTACTGTATAGTTTCTAAAACAGCAAATAATTTCTAAAAGTAACAAACTACTTACCGTCTTTTAAAAGTTTCTGTAAGATTTTCACAAATACACTGTCTTTAGACACTTCGATTGGATCATCTTTACCATCTGAACTGGACCAGCTAGAAAACAAAATCATCAGAAAGAAAAGTGTAGCTGACAGAAACAACTTTTTTTTTTTTTGGGGTCCGGTCATGGGGCCTAAGCGCTGTCCCTCAGCTCTTCAACTCATGGCTAGCACTCTACCACTTGAGCCACAGCACCACTTCCAGCTTTTTTCTTTTTGCTTATGTGGTGCTGAGGAATCGAACCCAGGGCCTCATGCTTGCAAGGCAAGCGCTCTACCACTGAGCCACCTTCCCAGCCCCCAGAAACAACTATTGTTTGTAGTTTCCTCTCATGGCTTTGAGAGTAAACTGTGAAGAATGAGGGTGCACCATTGCCTCAAACTACCCGAGTGAAGAAGGGTCATGGGCCACAAGCCTTATACATGGGTGGCATTCACCGGCACCACCACACATCCAACTACAAGTCTTATACATGGGCGTTCACCCACACCACCACAAATCCAACTACAAGTTTTTTGTTTTTTGTTTTTTTTTGGTCCGGTCGTGGGGCCTGAACTCTGAGCCTGGGCACTGTCCCTCAGCTCTTCAGCTCAAGGCTAGCACTCTACCATTTGAGCCACAGTGCCACTTCTGGCTTTTTTCTTATGTGGTGCTGAGGAATCGAACCCAGGGCCTCAGGCATGCAAGGCAAGCGCTCTACCACTGAGCCACCTTCCTAGCCCCCCAACTATAAGTCTTATACATGGGCGTTCAACCACACTACCATACATCCAACTACAAGTCTTATACATGGGCGTTCACCCACACCATCACACATCCAACTACAAGTCTTATACATGGGTATTCACCCACACCACCACACATCCAACTACAAGTCTTATACATGGGTGGCATTCACCCACACTACACATCAAGCAACGATGTCTTATACACGGGCATTCACCCACACCACCAAGAATCCAACTACAAGTCTTATACACGGGTGGCATTGACCTACACCACCACACATCCAACTATAAGTCATACACAGGCATTCACCCACACCACCACACATCCAACCAAAGTGCCTTCCTACCCTCCTCTGATTTGTTTTCCTCCTCCAGCCTTCCTTCCCTTCTTTCCAGTCTCTCTCCTTCCTTCCTTTTTTTTGTTCTGATACTGGAGCTTCATTGAACTCTAGGCCTTGTGATCTTGGTTAGCTTTTTCTGCTTAAGTTGGCACTCTACTACTTGAGCCACATTTACACTTCTGGCTTTTTGGTGGTTAACTGGAGAGAAGAGTCTCATGACTTTTCTTCCCAGGCCAACCTCAGCTTCCAAAAGCTAGAATTACACCTTTTTGAATGAAGAAAGTGCTGTAAATAACAGATCTAACAATGGTTACAATGCTCTCTAAACCCTGTCTTCCTGGAAGCAAACACACCAAGGGTCTGCTGGAGGACAGAAGGAGGAGCTTTCTTTCCTTGAAGAACACCAACACAGAGCTGTTAGAAGCTCTAAAATTTCAAGTAAGCAAGGATAAGGAGCTCCAGTCAAAATGACAGCATCTTTCTGAGACTGGACTGGGACCAATGGACCAAAGAGGCACAGTACTAGTACCCTAGAGGATGCCAAGATCAGGCTCAGCAATAACCCTACTGCCTGAGAATATCAGTGAGGAACAGCTTCTCACTGAGGAGACCAGGGAAGGGAGCAGTGCAGAAAGCATCTCAGCACACGGGCTCATCTACATACAGCTCTTGCCCTCAAGTCTACCGCTGCCAAGCCTGAGGTGGCCTGAGCTTTAACCCTCCCGAAATGGAAATTTTCCTCTGTGGAAAGCTGATGGATATGAGAATAAGGAACTCACACTTAAACTACCTTGTGTTTAGAACATAAGTTGTAGTTTTTGAGTCTCATCTGGCATGTTGGGTCCAACTTCTGTAATATTAAGGAATACACACATTTCTGTGCAAAGGGTCTAGACACGATCATCAGAAACAGTGACTTATGAGCTCAAAGCCCAAGGCTCTGAATTCAAGTCCCAGTCCAAAAACAAAAGGCAGGCTGGGCACCAGTGGTTCATACCTTTAATCCTTGCTACTCAGGAGGCTGAGATCTGAGGATCACAGTTCAAAGCCAGCCTGGGTAGGAAAGTCTGTGAGACTCTTCCAATAAATCACAAGAAAACCAGAAGTGGTGCTGTGGCTCAAGTGGTAGAGCACTTGCCTTGAGCTAAAGAGTGCAGGTACAGTGCCCAAGCTCAGAGTTCAAGTCCCACAACCGAAAAAAAAAAAGAAAAAAGGCAATAAAAACAAGCAAACAAACAAAAACTCCAGTTATTTAGCCTGGTGTGGTGGTCATGTCTGTAATCCCAGCACTTAGGTGAATAGTGCTTCCCCAACAAGTGGAAGCCCTACATTTAATTGCCACAAAACAAAACAAAAAAACTACCATCTCTCCCCAAAAGCATGGTCCTAGGTCTTAATTACCAATTTAAAAATGAAGGGTCGGGCTGGGAAGGTGGCTCAGTGGTAGAGCGCTTGCCTTGCATGCATGAGGCCCTGGGTTCGATTCCTCAGCACCACATAAGCAAAAAAGAAAAAAACTGGAAGTGGCACTATGGCTGAAGTGGTAGAGCGCTAGCCTTGAGCTGAAGAGCTAAGGGACAGCGTCCAGGCCCAGAGTTCAGGCCCCACGACCGGACCCAAAAAAAAAAAAAAAAAGAAGGGTCACCAGTTCAACAGCTACAACATTCATGTCAGAAAACAACTAGAAGTCTGTATGACCATCTGTCATATGATCACAGCTGACTTGGAGAAAGCCATCTACACGGCACCTGAGGTCCCATCAAGAAAACTTACTTAGCTGGGCGCCCCTGGCTCACACCTAATCCTAGGTACTCAGGAGGCTAAGATCTGAAAATCGTGCAGTTCAAAGCCAGCACAGGCAGGAAAGTCCGTGAGACTTTTATCTCCAATAAACTACTCAGAAAACTGGAAGTGGTTCTATGGCTCAAGTGGTAGAGCACTAGTCTTGAGCTGAAGAGCTAAAGGACAGTACCCATGCCCAGAGTTCAAGACCCACAACTGACCAAACAAACAAAACAAAACCTCTTACTTATCTCTCTGTAGCGCTCGGCAAAGGATTTCCAGTTTCAGATCATTTATATTTACATCTTCCTCCTTCACAGCAAAACAAAACACCCTGGTTAAATCCTGACTTTAAACAATGAATACATGCTAGTAGGTCATGTGCATGTATGAAAATACAACAATGAAACCTGTTGAAATTCCTCTAGGAAGGGAGTAAAGGGGAAGGAGACTGATTGAGAGAGGAGACTGGAATACAATTAAAATTCAAGTTACATCACTTCCTAACCCTGCATAAACACTATGACCTTGCTTTAATTCAGAAATTAACACTTTTCCCCTTCTTGAAGATGTATTCTTGGCTAATGTGACTTCAGGAACTTTGAGAAGTAAAGAAAGATGTTTAACCTAACTTAAAAACTCTAGCAAATGACTTCTGCTTACATAGCCAGATGACACTGCCTGTCTCACAGAACATGCACTGTGGTTTCTGGAAAGCTGGGGGGCAGCTTGTCTTAGGGTGAGCACTACAGAACACACTCACCCACCCCCTCAAGCCGCCACTTTCCACGTGTGAGGGTTATCAGGAATTTAAGTCTCCTACTACTTTTTTAAAGAGCTACCTACCTTCTAAGAGCCAGTGGGTAGCAAACACAGCAGTACTTTATGAGCAAATGTTGTAACTGACTTTAGTATTTCCCCACTTTCTGTATGTTTTCAGTGCCCAAGCCCTCCTTTACTTGCCTCATCAATATATTCCAGCAAGTCCAAAGCTTTCTTGAAATCGTATTCATTAGCTCTTCTGTTTTCTTCACATATGTACAGCTGTGGCAAGTTATGAAACGTAGATAATTAATTACAGAGCTAGACAAATTTATGAAGAAAAGAGTCATTATTTCTTCTTCTAAGATGTAACAAGTGATTTCTGTAACCGAAAACAATGTTACATTCAGGAAGTATGTTCTATCTGTACCTTACAATAAACTTTCTAAAAGTAACATCTTGGGGAGACAGTTATGTCCTATACTAGAGTCAGACTATACTAGAGTCAGACTACATTTCTGTTACCAGGATGAATGCCTTAAAGGGCCAGATGGAAGGATCTCAGAAAACCAAGGCTGGGTAGCTGCTTCCTGTTAATACCTTTCTGCTCCCAAACAGCTTCCAATCTGTCTTTCTAGGGGGAGGTTCTCAGGACAGTGGGAGTCAGGGAAAGGAGCTTTGCCACAAGGCCCAACAGATGCTGGCTGGTTCTGGGTGTGGGAAGAAGGGAGGGAAAAGACACCTACGCTAATGAGCTGCGGTGCGGTCAACACAGGCATGGCGCTGAGACTCAACTGCTTCTCTGAGAGCAACTGCTCAGGCAGGGTTTCCTGGTGCAGCAGGAAGCGCTCCTGCTCAGCCATTGCTGGTATTCAAAGACAGGGTAGAATGAGGAGACTTTCATTTTTGCTGACACAAAACAAATACAAATTATAAAAAAAGCACTCTACAGGTAGTCCTATCCATATTCAATAATTTTATGCTTAATTAGCTTTATTTTCTTGATTGAAGATTATGCTAACAATATTATTTATGGTTATTTATTTTAGGCATATGTATGATACCCTAATAGCTGATTTTAGCACCTTGTGATAACCAGTTACTCACTGTGGTTATGAAATTATTTTTGTTACTCATACCACATTTCTGTTATCACTCTATAAAGGAGCATTTCAACAATACCTCCCCTCTTGAGTATCAGTGTGGATTCATGGTTTTTTCTTCTGTGTTCCAGAAATATGCAATACTTCACCAACATTCTTTGAGACATTCAAATTATTCTGTCCCTTAGGCTCCATCTTCTACTTTCTTGCCCAAGACTCACTGGGCCATCTTTCCAACGGCCCTCAATCTCTTCTATAGGTTAGAGACCAAAATGCAGAATCCATGGCCCTTTCATTAGAAAGAGCCACAATATACTTTAAAAACAAAAACCCACCAGGTTTTTACCTGGTTATTTCTAATTAAAATATGTAACATATGGTTCTCTTTTCCTTTCTTTTTATATTAGTATCTTCCTTCTTGATTTTCAGAAATAAAACCATTTTTATTTCAGGATGACTGCACCATTACAATCATCTCTAACAAGGCCCTATGAAAGGCCAGGATTCCTCTGCAACTTTTTTCACTTTGGAATATGTAATACACTGGTCATCTACTACTCAAATCCTTTCTTTTTTTTTTACCTTCAATTTTCTCTTGCAATGTATCTTCTGATAGGTCTGAAGCTAGTGCAGCCAATTTACTCAAGCCAAGAAGGGTCTTTTTCTTTGCAAAGTAACGAGTTTCCATATTTGCTAAGCCCAGAAGTGTGGCATGAGCCTGCAATAAACAAAACATGAAAATGGTATTGAGTTGGTCCTAGACACCAACTCAACCTGGACATAAAGGTGCAGTACCTTCCAACTTGCCTTCCACTAAGCTCTATCAGTGAGACACACAAACTCCAAACCAGACCAGTACCAAAACACTAATATAGGATGCAGCTTCAGTCTGATACACAGCACAGGAAAGGCCTGTGTATTTTTCTATAGTACATGTCTATCCCAATACCCTGCACCAAGAGTACACCTGACTTTGCAGTTTTCACCAACACTTTAAAATACATAGTCATCGTAATAAAAGACCAATGACTTTTACATAAACATCAATTAAATGTGCATTATTATAATAGTAGCCAAAGGCCTACAATTATTTATTTTAGAAGTAATGAAAGGGCTGGGAAGGTGGCTCAGTGGTAGAGTGCTTGCCTTGCATGCATGAGGCCCTGGGTTCAATTCCTAAGCACCATATAAGCAGAAAAAGGCAGAAGTGGCACTGTGGCTCAAGTGGTAGAGTGCTAGCCTTAAGCTGAAGAGCTAAGGGACAGTGCCCAGGCCCAGAGTTCAGGCCCATGACGGACCAAAAAAATAAAAAAAAAAAAAAGAAGTAATGAAAATACTATCATCATAAAGAATCCTCTATTTAAATTTTGTGCAAGGACAGGAGGTATACATTGTATACATGTTAACCATTTATATGTGTCTTCTAACTTCTTGAAATTTTACTGTAAGTGAACAAATTATTACTATAGATACTTGAGTGAAAAGTGAGGTTGTGCTACATGCATGCAATGTACAATATATAAACCTAATTAACCTATCTTATCACTTCAAAATTTGTCCCTTGAGCAAGTTTGAAATACATGATAAACTATTGATAACTAGTTAATACCCTGTACAATGTATCTCTTCTTCCTCCTGGTTAATTCAAGTTCTGAACCCTTATACCTACTTCTCATTTCCTTCACCCTAACTCCTAGAAACCTTCCACTCTGTACCTATGAGCAACTGTTTGAGATCCCACATACAAGCGAGCTAAGACAGGGTTTGTTTTTCTGTACCTGGCTTGATTTACTTAGCTTTGAGCCATGTTGTTGTAAATAACAGAAGTTTCTTCTTTAGAAAGGCTGAATATTGTCTCTTTGTGTGTGTATATGTTTGTACATATGAATGTGCAATACAATAGATGATATATACATATACCATGTAAATAAATATAGATACTCACTTCTTGAAGGATACTAAGATGAATTCCTTAGCTTTGATATTTGAATAGTGCTGCAATTATGTAAGAGTGTAGATGTCACTTTTGACATACTGGTTCAAAATGTTTGGATATACAGAAGTAAAATCTTAACTTCTGCTGTTGTAGTTTGTTGGTTTTTTTGTCAGTCGTGGGGCTTGAACTCTGGGCCCAGGAGCTGTCCCTCAGCTCTTCAGCTAAAGGCAAGCGCTCTACCACTTGAGCCATGCCACTTCTGATTTTCTTATGGTTTATTGGAGTTTCTTGCTTGGGCTGGTTCTGAACCGCGGATCTCAGCCTCCTGAGTAGCTAAGATTACAGGCGTGAGCCACTAGTACCTGGCTTGATGTTGTAGTTTTATTTCTAGTTTTCTAAGGAGTCTCCAGTTGTTTCCAATGTCTGTACTAAAATATATGCTTATCAACAGTGTTCAAAGTTTCCCTTTTTGTTATACCTTCAGAAATACTTGTTACTGGGGCTGGGAAGGTGGCTCAGTGGTAGAGTACTTGCCTTGCATGCTAGAGGCCCTGGGTTTGATTCCTCAGCACCACATAAGGAAAAAGCCAGAAGTGGCGCTGTGGCTCAAGTGGTAGAGTGCTAGCCTTGAGCTGAAGAGCTGAGGGACAGCGCTTAGTCCCAGAGTTCAGGCCCCACGACCGGACCCCCCCCCCAAAAAAAAGAAAGAAATACTTGTTACCTTTTACTTTTTTGGTGCTGGTCTTCCTGGAGCTTGAACTTAGAGCTTAGGTGCTGTCTCAGCTTCTTTGCTCAAGGCCTAATTTTCTACCACTTGAGCCATAGCTCCACTTCCAAAAGTTGCTATCTTTATCTTTTTGATAAAAGACATTCTGATTGGTATGAGTTAATTTGCTTTTTTCTCAGTGATGTTGAGCATATTTCAAATAACCTACCAGCCATCTACCTGATCTCTGAGATAATGCCTGTTCAAGTCTTCTACTCATTTTTAGCTATTTGTTTTCTTGCTGTTTAGCTAAGTCCTCTATTTATTTTAGAAATCAATATCATCACTTTTATGGCTGTAAATAATATCTAAAAACCAAAGAAATGAAAGATATCTAAGTAAACTGCATATATCTGCTTCATACAACTGAATCTTTCTTACCTTTTCTAATTCTTGGCTATTAATTTCATGTAACCAACTGAGATGTTCATGGGCTTGCAAAAAATTGGCCAACTGTCCGTGCTGAGAAATGGGCTGAGACAATAATTTACCCCGCTTTCCTTTCTCCAGATACCAACGGAAGAGAAAGTCTGAAAAATTCTACAAAGAACAAAACCAAAAATTCATTAATATTTAGTAATAGTTCCTCTTTACTTTTCTTTGTGGTACAGTGTCTTACTACAACCAAAGGCTGGCCTCACAGGCATGACATGATCTCAGTCCCCTAAGAGCCAAGATTATAGGTATGTATCACCACATCTAGCTAATAATAGATATTTAAAAAAACCTTTTTTGATATTCACTTTCCCAAGACCTCAAAATAGGTATCTTCTTGTAAGCTTGCATTTTCCTATTCTAAGAATACACAGAGTTCTATGTTAGTCCATACTGACAATGATGGTCACATCTCTAATGACCTCACCTTATAGCTCAGCAGAATACCTGCTCAAGACTGCTGGTGTCATTGGGAGAGCTTAATGTGCACTGTCCAATGGGGAGCCACTCACAGGCAGCTGTTCAATGACTCCATTTCCTAAGGCATACCAGCCACGGTGTGCCACTTATGTCCAGGTCCCACCTGGATATCATGCAAACAACTTCCCAATAGAGTTCTAGCGGCAGCACAGAACTACACCCAGGTGAGAGGTCTGCAGTGCTGTGCAGACGCCTGCAGGGGCTCATGTGATACACTGGAGTCTAGGGCACCCCAATGCCAATCAGTGTGGCTTTACCAACAGGACATGTGCTGAACTTTGGAGTGCTACAGAGGCTGAGGAGAAAAAGGAAGCAGGGATCCAGCTATGAACATGGTTGTTTCTCCAAAAGAACTGGGAGAAGTGAACTGGATATGGGAAAAACTGAGACCCAGCCTGGCCACCTTGGTTCTGGATGTCGCAGGCCATCTGCTTCTCATTTGAGTTGTCTGAAAGAAGGGTCCTCCCAGAGATAAGAAAGACTACTTCCCAGTCTTTTTAGTTCTACCAGTCCTGGGGCTTGAACTCAGGGCTTGGGTGCTATCCCTAAGCCTCTTTGTGCTCAAAGCTAGAGCTCTACCACTTGAGCCCTAGCACTACTTCCAGCTTTTTCTGAGTAGTTTATCAAGAGATAAGAGTCTCATAGACTTTCCTGCCTGGGCTGGCTTTGAACTGCAATCCTCAGCTCTCAGCCCCCTGAGTAGCTAGGATTACAGGCGTAAGCCACTGGTGCTGGCTCCCCCCCTCTTTTTTTTGACAGTCCTGGGGCTTGAACTCAGGGCCTGGGTACTGTCCCTGAGCTTCTTTTGCTCAAGGCTAGAACTCTACCACTTAAGCCACAGCACCACTTTTGGCTTTTTCTGTTTATATGGTACTGAGGAATTGAACCCAGGACTTTATGCATGCTAGGCAAGCACTCTACCACTAAGCCACATTCCCATCTCTCCCATTTTTACTGTTCTTTTATATGTCCAAAACAATTACATGACATAAAGAGCAAAAAAAAAAAACCTTCACTAGTAAGCAACATAAAAGCAGGAAACCAAAGAATACAAAAATGACCAGAATGTGAAGCCAGCACAAAAGAACTTTACTATGATGAAGAAAACAAATTGCAAAAAATAGATTAAACATATAAAAAGAATTTTTAAAAATCATGGTTTTTGGCTCACATCAATTTTAACTATTCAGGGGGCTGAGATCTGAGGATCACAATTCAAAGACAGCCCAGAAAGGAAATTCTATGAGATTCGTATCTCCAATTAACTATCAGAAAGCTAGAAGTGGTATGGTGGCTCAAGTGGTAGAGTGCTAGCCTTGAGCACCAAAGTTCAGGGACAGCACCCAGGCCTTGAGTTCAAGCCCCACTACTGACAGAAAAAAAAATAATGTTGGTCATAAGCCAGGCACCACTGGCTCACACCTTTAATCCTAGCTATTCAGGAGGCTGAGATCTGAGGATCACAGTTCAAAGCCAGCTGGGGTAGGAAAGTCTATGAGACTCTTATCTCCAATTAACCACCAGAAAAACCAGAAGTAGTTCAGTGGCTCAAAGTGGTAGAGCGCTAGCCTTGAGCAAAAAAGCTCAGGGACAGTGCCCAGGCCCCAAGTTCAAGCCCCACAACTGACAAAACTAAATAAATGAAAAATTGGGGCTGGGAATGTGGCTCAGTGGTAGAGTGCTTGCCTAGCATGCATGAAGTCCTGGGTTTGATTCCTTAGTACCACAGAAAAAACTGGAAGTGGTACTGTGGCTCAACTGGTAGAATGCTAGCCTTGAGCAAAAGAAGCCCAGGGACAGTGCCCAGGCCGAGTTCAAGCCCTAAAACTGGCAAAAAAATAAAATAAAATAAAAAAATTGTTGGTCACAAAACATTTAGAGTGATGGAGGGGGGACTGAGCCAGAGGCACCGGGCACAGAATAGCCACATTAAAATGACTCTTCAGAAGCGGCATCCTCTGCCTCAAGCGTCACCCGTGTCCCGCAGTAAGTATCCTTCTAACTAATAGGAAAGAAGTGAAAGATCAAACACTTCAAAGAGAACTACTCAGCAGTACTGACACAGAAAGCACTGCTTGCCTGGTAGAGGAATGGGGAGTAAAGGTAAGCAAATAGTCATTATATTCAATGCATATATTCAGTGTGAAAGGGGAACCCTATACCTAGAGGACATGGGTGGGACTGGGAAGGGGGAGAACAGTGGAAGGGTGACATGGATCAAAGTGCACTGTACTTATAAACTAATCTGTTGAGTTGAAACACTTTAATACAACCACTTAAAGGAAAAAAAAAGTACTCTGCCAAATGACAAAGAAACATTTAAATCAGCAACTCATTTATCTGCAAAAAAAGTGTATCCTCCCTCCAAACCCCACTGACATTCTGGAAAGAGCCAAGCCTTTCCATAGTGGCCTGTGGCCCACATGTTGTTACCTGGTCAGCAAACTGAGTCATGTAACGCTGGAGTCTGGCCTGGTTGTCCGTCTGCTCGCACATCTGTACGAGAATATCAAAATCACAGTACTTCTCTGCTAGAGAGGCAGCCCATGCATGCTGGCCTGAGGTGACTGCACAGACAAGAGCAGGCAGGTGAGCTTCTATTCACAACCACTTAAATACACAATAAAAAACCACCTGAACCAAGAGTAGTAATAGGAAGTCTTCCTATTGCATTTAGCATTGTATTTAGCTTCATGATCTATATCAACCTGTTAAAGATGCAAATGGAGCACACTGCTCTGTTGATCTCCCCAGTGCAAGTCTCTTCCTTCTTTTTGGGGGGTGGGGTCCGGTCATGGGCCTGAACTCTGGGCCTGGGCGCTGTCCCTCAGCTCTTTAGCTCAAGTCTAGCGCTCTACCACTTGAGTCACAGCACCACTTCCGGGTTTTTTCTTTTTTGCTTATGTGGTGCTGAATAATCGAACCCAGGGCCTCAGGCATGCAAGGCAAGTGCTCTACCACTGAGCCAACTTCTCAGCCCAAGTCTCTTCCTTCTTGTACTAGCAGACAAGCTCTCCTGATCCCCACTATGAAGGAAACGACCCCTGTGCTCAATGGCCACACTGGGCTGTCTGAACAATGTGACACTTATTTTTAAATCAACTGCAGAATCTTACAGTATTTGTGCCTGTTAAGTACTGAAGACTGTATGAACAGAGAAAGCTGTATGTGTTTCCTTGAAGTTTTGCTTCATGGCTACAGCTGGATAATGCTTTCACACTGACTATCATGTATCAGCTATTCACCTGCTTCTTCCACTTCTCTCATCCCAGCACACCAAAGCCCCTGCTGACCACCATGTACGCACGCAGAAGGGAAAGGAGATCTGATCTTTTCTGCAGGTACTCTACTTCTAGATTGGTGTATCTTTCCTGGTTGCTGGGTTTGTCTAGAGACCTCAGCTGCAAAACATAACCGTCCAGGAAGCAATCAATCAATGCCACCAGCTGCTCTGTCACGATGTTTCGGAGATTGCTATCCGCCTGTGGGTACACTGTTTTCAGGATGACTCCATGCTGGCGCACAATTGCTGTTCGGATGCCGGCAGGACCACTTGTGGCTGTAAAGCAATTTGGCAAGTAAGGGTTCTGTGATGGCCAGGGAAGAGAGCAACTGTACAAAATTTATGCTCCTTTACCACTCAGGAAAAATAAATTATTGTTCAGTTCTAGCTGCTTATGCCTGCTTGAATCACATCTTCCCTGTGCTGATTTTCTTAACACAAAAGTTCTTTTCTCTTTTTTTTTTTTTGGTCCCTGTGCTGATTTTCTTAACACAAAAGTTCTTTTCTCTTTTTTTTTTTTTTTGGTCCAGACTGGAGTGCTATCCTTGAGCTCTTTTGCTGAAGGTGAGCACTCTACCACTTTGAGCCACAGTGCCACTTCCGGTTTTCTGGTGGTTAATGGGAAGTAAGAGTCTCATGGACATTCCTGCCTGGGCTTCAAACCAGTGATCCTAAGATCTCAGTCTCCTGAGTAGCTAAGGTAACAGGTGTGAGCCACCAGTGCCTGGCTTCTAAGTTTGTTTAATGTTATCCTACCTTTTTTGTGGTAGTAACATAAAATATGGCTCATTCCTTGGGGGCCAGGACTTGCTTCTATGAACAGCTATTTGCACTAAAACAGTAGATTTAAATAAATTAAAGGGAAGTCTATAAATATATCTAAGAGAATAAAGCAATTTTGGCAAGAACCACTCATTTTCTTTTCATTTCGCTTACACACCTCTACTAAGGGAGTAACTGTTAATATGTCTTACCTGTCCATGGAACATACTCAGGTTCTTTCCCTACTGGTTCCTCTCGCCTATACATGGAACTTCTATTCTGGCGATAATGAGTAGCAGCCTGCAGCATATCCTAGAAAAATGGAATGGTACTGTCACACACGGAAGCAATGATCACTTTGTTTCTGAAGATTCTGAAATACCAGAGGCTACTGATAAGAAAAATACTGGGGCTATAGCTCAGTGGTAGAGCACTTGTCTAGCATGCACAAGGCAGTGACTTCAACTTCCAGCACTATAAATAAAATACATGGATTTTTTTTTTGGGAGGTGGGATTTCTGCTTCTGAAATTTGGTTCATTCCACAATTTAACTGCAAGCTTGGAAATTGAGTATCATAAAGTATAATATGTGAAATTAAATTAAGTACTTTAGTTAAAAACTAGCAAGTTCTAGGTAATTAAAAATAGAAGCCACGGGACTGGGAAGGTGGCTCAGTGGTAGAGTGCTTGCCTTGCATGCATGAGACCCTGGGTTCAATTCCTCAGCAACACATAAGCAGAAAAAGCTGGAAGTGGTGCTGTGGCTCAAGTAGTAGGGTGCTAGCCTTCAGCTGAAGAGCTGAGGGACAGTGCCCTGGTGCAGAGTTCAGGCCCCACAACCAACCAAAAAAAAAAAAGTAGAAGCCAGGCTGTGGTCTTAGCCACTCAGGGTGCTGAGGCAGGAGGATTGTTTAAGCCCAGGGGTTCCACATAGAGACCCCACTGAAAGAGGGAAGAAGGGAGAAGAGACAAAAGGAACAGTTACATCAACATGAATACCTTTTCAGTGATATAAAATCTATCTTTAAGTAAAATGTTTATCTTACCAAACAGAAACTTATGAATATACACAAGGCAATTATTCAAAGCCTTTGTTAGCTGACAGAATGAATGCTATTCTTCTAACTTTTGGGAATTAACAAATACCAGACCCTGTACTGCACTGGCTCTGTGGACTGGGGAGAAGGAAGCTTCCTTCTTGTCCCTTCCTCCTAGGGTGTAGAACTGCCCTGCGCATGTGATACCTTGAGGATGGTATTGACAGAGATGGCCACCTCCGCCCACTCAACCGAGTCCAGTGGTGCATCCCTCAGGACCTGCTCTTCGTGTTCCAGCAGACACTCACAGACAGTGTCCACCTGAGACACCTGAGGACAAACAGAGTCAAGAGTCACTCTTATCATCAAACAATGGAGATGGCTTCATGAAGTTACATCCTCAGACCACTAGACAGTTAATGGTAAAAATAAATGTAAAACAACAAGAAAATGAGCATCTTCTATTTATAAGATTGAATGTCCAAATAACTAAATCTCATATATGGTCAAAATCTGAATGGTTATCAAGTAGATTTTTAAATTTAAATTCCACATAACTAATATTAATACATGATTATTTATTAGTGCTCAATACAAGCTTCAAATAAAAGTTACAACTGATTGTCACATTAAATGTTAAGACCTTAAACTAATTCACTAATTAGGATTAAAATAATGACCCAGACTAATCAACTTGTTAACTTTCTCTTGAGTAATTCCTCTTTTAAACACCACAGAAGCATTTGCCAAATATCAATATATACAAAAACCATGATCTGAATATGTGACTCCTAATTCTTCTCTCTTTTGGTCATGAAAACATGGATGGGCTGAGAATGTAGCTTTAGTGGTAGAGCACTTGTCTACCATGAAGAAAAACTTGGGTTTGAAACCCCAGAACTGCAAAAACAGTAAGAAAACCCACATGAGATAACTGCAGAAAGGCACTGAAGCTCCTTTCCAGTTTTAGCATACAATTAGGCTTTTCTTTTAGACTTTGCATGTCAGCACAGAAGCACACAGGAAAGAGGAAGGAGAAATCAGATCTTTGTCCACTAGGAGCTCATAAACTAGTTGAAGGAAATAGACATGTGTAAATGGAACACTTGTTTCAAACAAAACCAGGCTCTTACAAACTTGCCCTTGCTGTTATTTCTGGTGTTCAACAAAGGCATCCCAATAGCCCAAGCACTTTTTCTACTGTTACCATGAAAAATGATGAAGTCTATACAGCTGTCTGTCTATATGCTTGAGATCTGCATCAACTAACTGAGAATAAAATGCTGGAAGAAAATGTTCCAGCATTGTAGGAGCATCCTGTGTAGTTAGGCCTGTAACAGACCTACTGAACATGTACCATTTTCTTTCTTGCTACTGTTCCCTAAATAATATAGTGTAACAACTATTCACATAACATTTATATTGTTTTTTTTTTAAGTTGCAATATTTATTTCAGTAGAAGAAGTAGGATCTAATATATTGAGTGAAAAAAGAACCATTCTAACGATAGAACTGATACAAATGGGAAGAAGTTGGGCAGAAAAACAGGTACTAGCTCAATTTAAGCCAAATTTTATAATAGGGATGCCTTTGAACATTTATATTTTATTAGGTCATCTTATGTGTTCTAGAGATGACTTAACAGTACTCAAAAAAATGTGTGTCGGTTACATGCTATGCCATTTTCATGAGGGTGGTGGGGTGCTGATATCAATGGCCGGTGGATATTGAGGGATACATTACAGATGCTGGGTGGCAATAGCTAATCCTAGCTACTCAGAAGGCCAAGTCTGGAAGACTGCAGTTTGAGGTTACCCTGGGTAGAAAAGTTCTCTAGACTCTATTTCCAGAATAACCAGCAAAAAGCAAGGTTGAAAGTGTGGCTCAAGCAAACAGTAGAGCACAGGCTGGGAAGTGGAAGTCCCTGGAGTTCAAACCGCAGTAGTACCAAAAATAAGAGAATATGGGTCTGGGAAGGTGGTAGAATGCTTGCCTAGCATGCATGAAACCTGGGTTCAATTCTTTAGTACCAGATAAACAGAAAAGGCTGGAGATAGCACTGTGGCTCAAGTGGTAGAGTGGTAGCCTTGAGTAAAAAAAGCTCAGGGTCAGTGTCCAGTTCCCTGGACACTTCCTGAGTTCAAGCCCCAGAACTGGCCAAAAAGAGGAGAGGGAGGGAAGAAAAGAGAGAGAGAAAGAGAGAGAGAGACTGAGAGAGAGAGAGAAACTAAAAGGCTGAAAAATGCTAAGTCCTCTTGTCACGTGCATACACTATGGTTTCAATTTCAAGTATTGTCCATAGGTTGTGCCATCAAAACCTGAGCCTGGGGATAATAGGTCTCTTCCCAAACTAAACAAGAGACAACGTGGGGATGATACCACCAGAGCCCATCCTGTGTTGTTTCACTCTCCCTGCAAGCTACTAGATCAAACTACAGCTCTGTATGACCTACCAGGTGGACTGGCTGAGGCTAACCAGTTCTTCTTATTTTTAATAAACTTTCCTATCACTTTTACTATAAAAAATAAAAATATACATCTAAAGTACACACATTTATGAGGTAAACAAAAAGCTGAAACTGAGTTACAGCCTACTAAAAACTAAGAAAAGGAGCTCTGTCAGCATAGCACCTGACATGCCAGGGAACAACCGAAGCAAGTAGACCTAGAGACCCTGGCAGTGAGAGGTTCCTCAAATGTACAGGAAATTCCACAGAATTGAGGACACAGGTGGCCCTATGTGTAAATCAGATATCACTACCAAGAGAGAAGGGATCATTCTCACTAAGGACTGCATGTTGCAAAGCAAGTCGTATGCATGAAGACTGTGCTTAGACTCGCAGTCTCAGCCTGCAAAACTGCTGCTCAAGCCCTGGATCACTTCTCTAGTGAAGTGGGCCAAGTCTTCCCTGACACCTTAGCTTATCAGGATGTGAGACATCCTATAAGGATAAGAATTATGTTCTTACAACAACTGCCACCTTAGCTAGTATCTTAGTATTTCTCCCTTTAAAGTTTAGAACAGATTTTTCTTTCCCTCTGATTTTGAAAGTGATGGCATCAGTGATGCTACAAGGGAATTGAGAGCGGTTCAGTGAAGGGACTATTCACAAAGCTGTGGCAAGAGTGAGGGTCCATCGGGGATAGCCTACACTCTAGGGAGAGTATCATCAACTCCGAGGAGGTAAGTGGACGAGACAGCCACTGGAACACAGAGGGGTCATGCACAGGAGCTGTGTCTCTGACAGGGGCACAGCCAACATGTGAGGAAAGAAGCTGGAGAACAGCTCCTCTAACCTCTGCCCAAGCAGGAAGCCAAGGGCCTAGGAGCACATGGAGTAAGGAAGGCTCCTCAGGCAAAGTCAAGGAGTGAGGGAGAACCAGAATAAACAGGGACCCCTTCTTAACTGACTGTGAGAGCCCTATTTATAGGACAGGTGATAAAAAGTGTGGTGCTTTTCTAGAAGAGAGAGTCCAATTTAAAATCTCAGCTGGGTACTGGTGACTCATACCTGTAATCCTAACTTCTCAGGAGGCTGAGATCTGGGATGATGGCTCAAAGGCCAGCCAGGCAGAAAAATCCTTGACATTTTTACCTCCAATTAACCAGTACAAAAGCAGGACAGTAGGCATGGCTCAAGTGGTAGAGTACCAGCCATGAGCAAGAAAGCCAAGTGTGACTGCAAGTCTCTAAGTTCAAGCCTCTGTACCAGAAACGCTCCCTCTCGCCCCCCCCCCCCTCCCCGCCTCCAAAATCTCAACAAGACCTTCTAAATTTAGTCTTCTCACTCTGCCAATCCTATGCATGATCAGCACACGGTACAGAATGCATGAATGAGAATTCATCTGACCTCGCGAAAGAACACATCAGCGGGGGTCAGGCTGGATGGGACCTCACAATCCCTCTTGTTCAAGGCCATCAGGATCGCTGTGTTCACAAGGTCTGGCAGACGCGAGTGGTGGTTCTTGAGAGCGATGGCAGCTGACAGCTTTTCTGCATGTTCGCAGAGCAGGAGCCGGGTTGCCATCAGTGTCCCTCTGACTGGAGAAGTACCCAGACGCTCGAACAAGCCAACCTTGCAAAAAGATAAGCACATGGTCTCAGAAAGCACAGGCAGTGGGATGGGAAGGTGGCTCAGTGGTAGAGCGCTTGCCTTGCATGCATGAGGCCCTGGGTTCGATTCCTCAGCACCACATAAGCAAAAAGAAAAAAGCCAGAAGTGACGCTGTGGCTCAGGTGGTAGAGCGCCAGCCTTGAGCTGAAGAGCTGAGGGACAGTGCCCAGGCCCAGAGGTTCAGGTCTCCCCCCCCCCCCAAAAAAAAAAAGAAGCATAGGCAGCAAGGTACTGACAAGTACAGCCACGAGTCCCCAGAGAGGTGGCTTCCCCAGTAACACTCTTCCAGTGGCTCCACACACTGGTGTATACATGCTAGCACACAGTGTGGACCTTACTGTTACCCCACAACTGGTGTATACATGCTAGCACACAGTGTAGACGTTACTGTTAGCCCAGTTTCTACCCATGACCATTGGCTTTACCTATGGTGTTGCTTGAATTGCTCTTCATAGTTATCAAAATGATCAAATTGTTCTTTTGCATCTTCACCAAGGAAGACCTTTTAGAACTAACAACTCAGCACCTACATCTTCAAGGGCTGTTTGCAGAACACGGGCCATGCCAGAGGTGTCATCAGCCCTTTGTATAGCCTCCTTGCCAATGACCACTTTTGGTGGATTATGAAGGTCTAGTCTTTTTTTGTTGTTGTTGTTGGTCATGGAGCCTGAACTCGGGGCCTGGTCTTCCTCAGCTCTTCAGCTAGTGCTCTACCACTTGAGCTACAGTGCCACTACTGAGCCACCTTCCCAGCCTTGGTCTAGAATAAAACACTGCCAATACTCACACATAAATGTTGAATACTTTTCCAAACTGAAATATATAATTTCTTTCATTAATGAGTAACCTGATTTCACTGCTTCTGTAGATGCTAGCAAATTACACCCCCCCTTTTTTTTTTGGTATGCCATAACTGAACTTGAACTTAGGGGCTCATGCTCTAACTTGACTTTTTAACTCAAGGCTGGCCTTCTACCATTTGAGCCATTACTCCACTTATGGCTTTCTGCTGGTTAAATGGAAAGTCTCAGGGACTTTTCTGCATCAGCTGGCCTCAAACCTCAGTCCTCAGATCCTAGCCTATTCAACAGCTTTACAATAGGATTACAAACATGAAATGCCAGCCCCAGCACCAGATACCTTTCTATTAAACACAAAAGGGCACGGCAGACATACTGTTCTAAACCTAGCTTCATTTGAATTTTTTATGTTTTCTATACTATTTAAATAATCAATGCTTTTAACAGTGCTGGAATCTTTTACTGAGTTGATCTATCTTTTTTTTTTTTTTTTTTGGTCTGTTGTGGGGCTTGAACTCTGGGCCTGGGCAGTCTCTCAGCTTTTCAGCTAAGGCTAGCACTCTACCACTTGAGCCACAGTGCCACTTCCAGCTTTGTCTGTTTGTGGTTCTAAGGAATCATATCCAAGGCCTCATGCATGTGAGACAAACACTTTACCACTGAGCCACCTTCCCAGCCCTGAGTTGATCTTAATTAATTCAACTTGTTCATATGATGATTTTTAAAATAAAAGTTATGCAACCTTGTGATTTCATTTGGATTCACTTTCTGGTTTCAAGGTATCTGGAGCACAGTTCTGTGTGGTTCCAACCCAGGAGGGAAGATAGCAGTTCTCTATAAAATTCTACCTTGGGGGGCTAGGAAAGTAGCTCAGTGGTAGAGTACTTGCCTTGCATGCATGAGGCCCTGGGTTTGATTCCTGAGCACCACATAAGCAGAAAAAGCTGGAAATGGCGCTGTGACTCAAGTGATAGGGCGCTAGCCTTGAGCCGAAGAGCTGAGGGACAGAGCCCAGACTCAAAGTTCAGGCCCCACGATTGACAAAAAAATAAATAAATAAAAATTCCTTTTGCTCCACCATGCTCAAAGCAGTCATCTCCCTTCCTGCACCCTTCAGGCCACGCATGCATCCTCACTGAAAATGAACAGGCATGAGAGAGAGAAGAGCTCCACCTACAGAAGCACTTCCCCAGACAAAGCACCTAGCCTTGGAGATTTCCCATAATTAATGTGAACTCTCTCTAATCAGTGACATAGCCACAAAGATGAAAGAAAACAGAAATAGAAAGGCACTGCCAGAATAAGGTCTCTAGATGCAGCCAGAGGCTGTCAGCAGCAGAGATTGTCAGCGTCTACACCAGAGGACCTAGGCCAGAGATGAAGCGGCTCAAGCCCTCAATAGCTATGGCCTCTGATAAACTGTGTCTGCATGTGGCACATAACCCCCACCTAACACCACACCCTCTGTGTCTGCAGGGGCACATGCACCCTTCCTACCTAACACCACAGTCTCTCTTGATATGACTTTTCCCTCCCCCAAACAGAAGGAAGATTCTTCTAATCCCTTTCATTTAGGCTTTTCTGCCACTTGGTTAGTTAATGTCAGTTTTTTCTTTTTTTTTCTGTCAAACATAGGGCTTGAACTCTGGGCCTGGGTGCTGTTCCTCAGCTCTTCAGCTCAAGGCTAGAGCTCTACCACTTGAGCCACAGCACCCTTCCGGTTTTCTGGTGGCTTATTGGAGATAAGAGTCTCACAGACTTTCCTGCTCAGGCTGGCTTTGAACTGTGATCCTCAGATCTCAGCCTCCTGAGTAGCTAGGATTTCAGGCATGAGCCACCAGCACTTGGCTTCAGTTCTTTTTTTCTAACAATAAAGGGCAAATCATGAAAATCAAAGTTTTCACCTAAAAGTTCACAAAAAATTTGAACAAAATACTATGTTTTAAAGGGAACAGGTCACATGGAGATGACAGCGTTCAAGCTAAAATGACATTTCTGCTAATATATACCATTTTTCCTCTCTAAATCTTATTTCCATGCAGCTTCCACAAAGTCCCTGAACTCTTCACTTTGGTATAAGCACTTGAAGCGGAAAACATAAGAAAACACCCCAGATAGACAGCAGGCATGGGCAACTGGGATGGAGAGGGTAAGGAGCCACGGGAGCCCCACACAGGATCTTACGTGGTGAAGAAAGTCTATGAGGAGGCAGTGGGCTTTCACTTTGTCCTCTAGCTGGTGGAGAATGATCAGCGAGGTGTTGCTGAGCCCGGGGGCCTCTGTTAGAACACAGCAGGAGATGTATGCTCAAAACAGTGTTTTTTAACAGCTGCTGCTAGCAAAATAGAGCTAAGATCTGAAAAGAGCAGAGGACTAACCCTAATTAAATTATATACATGGCTGAAAAGTTTAGATAAAGTTCACATTACATTTACTTAAAATAAAAAGACTATATGGTTAGTTTAGTCCCAATTCATATGGAACTCAACAACTCAGAAAGACATGTGGCTGGTACTCTATCCCCTAATGTTCCTAGTGAGGTTAGCAGACATACTGATGTAGCATTGCTGGGCGGAAATAAGTATCTGAGTTAAGTCCCTGGTACATAAGAATGTAGAGTGAACTGAGGGGACAGTGTCCTTGGACAGGCAGTACCATAAGATGTGCTCACTCTGTTCCCTCCCACTCTGAAGAAACAATGTAAAACCCCTACTAGTCACACACACTAATGATGCCAAAAATATGTTAATTTGAGGCTGAGGTAAATGCTAAATGCCTACTTATATCACCAAGTTCCAGTTAGAAAGAAGATGTCCACCCAGAAATGGAAACAAGGGTGTGTGTGTGTGTGTGTGTGTGTGTGTGTGTGTGTTTTCGGTCATGGGGCTTGAACTCTGGGCCTGGGTGCTGTCCCTCAGCTCTTCAGATCAAGGCGAGTGCTCTACCACTTGAGCCACAGCGCCACTTTCTTTGTTGTTGTTTTTTCTTTTTTGTCTTGTTTATCTGTCTTTGGGAGGATAAGAGAGGGCACAGAAATGAAGGGACAAAAGGTGAACAAACATAGCTGTGGTACTCATTAGACACTATGTTGAAAATGAACTACACTACTTGTGGGGAGAGACTGCAGGGAAAAACTGGGAGTCAGGGAAAGCGTGACACTGTCCAAAAAGAAATGCACTCATTATCTGGCTTACGTAACTCTAACCCCTCTGTACATCACCTTTACAATAACAATTTTAAAATTAAAAAAAAAGAAAAAGAGGAAAGCAAAGCAATTTGTCCAGAAAGAATAATTAGAGCTTGCCCTAGTGTCCTCTAGAATCTACCTTAACATCTATAATATCATCTTTTCTCAGGTCTTTTCAAAATCTATTAAGAACAGTAATTAATATCAATTACTTGAGAAAGTAAAAAAAAAATTTAAAAAAAATTGTCAGTTGTAGGGCATGAAACTCAGGGCCAGGGTGCTGTCCCTGATCAAAGCTAGCATTCTAACACTTTGGGCCACAGTGCCACTTCTGGTTTTTTGGTAGCTAACCAGAGATAAAAGTCTCACATTCTACCTGAGCTGGCTTTGAATCGCAATCCTCAGGTCTTAGCTTCCTGAGTAGTTAGGACTATAGGCATGAGCCACCAGTGCCCATCTTAAAAAAAAAAAAAAAAAAAAAAAAAAAAAAAAAATATATATATATATATATATATATATATATATATATTTTTTTTTTTTTTTTTTTTTTTTTTTCAAGCAGGAAGAAAAACTCGTTTATTAACAGAGAGCAGCCCTTTTTAAAGCCAAAAAGGAGCAGGTGGCATGGCAGGAGAGGAAGAGGAACCAATCACTGTCAAGGTCACACCCTATCATGTACCTAAGCTTTTAAAATATATTTTTTGAGAGATACATTGAACACATAACCAAATACTCTACTTAAAACAGATTATTTCAATATCACTCCCAATACTCAGGTAATCAAGGTCTCATTACCTTCAGGGACAGACTCTGCCCACCGAGGGTCAGAAGCTGGGTAGTCATCCACCAAGTCCACACTGATCTGGGTCACAGCCTTGTCTAGTTCAGAATCAGAACCCAAGTCAGAACGAGAGGAAAACAGCTCATCAACCATCATTTGAGCACGACCTACATCCTTCCTGCACAAAAAGAGGCAAAACATTTCAAAACTTATCACAGAAAAGAATATGGAATTAAGGTCCCATGTGTTAAGTTGTAGCCCAAGCACTGTGTGTAACGTTTATGTAACTAAAAGGATAAAGCAGCCAGGTACTGGTGGCTCACACCTGTAATCCTAGCTACTTAAATCTGAAGACTAAGGTTTGAAGCCAGCCTGGGCAAGAGGGTTCGTGAGACTCTTATCTCCACCAAACTACTCAAAAATAGCCATAATTAGAGCTGTGGCTCAGTGGTAGAGTGCTACCCCTGAATGAAATAAACTCAGGGACAGCACCCAAGTTCTGAGTTCAAGACCCAACACTGGCATATACATACACACACAAATTTACTGTGCAGTCTTAATTCATAAAATATTGGGTCTTTACAGCATGCTAGGCTCTGGACACCGAATGCTGAAGTCAGTCCTAGACTTTATAAAGTCTCAGACAACTGGAAAGCAAGGGTACATCTGTGAGAAGCATGAGGACAGGTATAAACAGAGGGCTACAGAGCACACAGAAGGGAAAACAAACTGCCACGAAGTCCTTGGAGAAAGTTCTGTGTATACAAGGCTTGATGTAGAAGAAGAGACCAGGGGAAGATGGGGAGAATGTGGCAGGTATGCACTTGTGCCCATCAGCTCTCAAGGAAGCTGTGCCTCCGAAACCTGAAGCAATCAATGAAAGAGGAACAGATCACGCAGGAAGGACAGTCTAGAAGAGAAATTCTAGGTCAACAAAGTGAAGGACAGGTAAGTTCTCACAAAGGAGACGCTTTAAAGTTGAAACAAGGTAGAGCCAATAGCAGACAAGGAGAGTGCCAAGCGGAACAAGCATGACTCATATTCAGAAGGGACAAATCAGAAAATCACAGCACATGATACCCTGTAAGCCACAGTGTGGGGTTTACAATCAAACCCAAGGAACCTTTGGAAAGACTAGGGGATTAGCTATCACAGTCTGTTCTGGTTTTCCCAAAGACCTTTCCAATTCTATGATGTATGGAGAAGGTTAGATGGCAGACAAGGCAGGATAAACAAAAACCCAGTTAGGAAGTTCCTACAGAACTTGGGGCTGAGAATCCATTTCAGAAGCAGCATGACCCTCCTATGAAGATTCTGCGTCCCCAGCAGTGGCATGAATGTGGCTCGCAGGAGTGAAGAGCACAGCCATGCTAGATGTCTTGTGATGCTGCTTCAGAGACTGCTCACAGATGCAGGCTGAGACCATGTCCCTGATGGAGACCTTAAGCTGATGGCACTGAGTTGAACAGGCTACCACACTCACCACATTTATGCCCACATTTAAAGCCTTAAGAGGCGAGACCGGGAATGAGGACTTTTGTAGACAGGATTAGTTAAGAAGGATTTGAGTGGGCCCTAACATCTGATGTCTAGTCCTAATAAGGTTATGTGATGACAGTTACAGTTTGCAGAAGTCATGTGACAATGGAAACAGAAGCAAGCCACCTACAAACCAAGCAGCCAGGACAAGTGGGAAAAATTCCCCCCCCAGGGTCCAAAAAGAGCTGACCCCCTTATTTCAGGCTTTGGTCTCCAAAATTCTGTTGTTCTAATTCAGCTTATGGCAATCTGTTTTGGTAGCTACAAGAAACAAATTTAAGAACTATATACTTGCTACATTGTTAATGAGAATGGTAATTAAAACATAAATGTGCAATTTAAAAAGTAATCCAATTTTTAAAATAAGACTGATAAGTAAAAAAAACCAAAAAACAGCCGGGCGCTGGTGGCTCACGCCTGTAATCCTAGCTACTCAGGAGGCTGAGATCTGAGGATCGCGGTTCAAAGCCAGCCCGGGCAGGAGAGACCATGAGACTCCTATTTCCAATAAACCACCAGAAAACCGGAAGTGGCGCTGTAGCTCAAGTGGTAGAGCGCTTGCCTTGAGCTGAAGAGCTGAGGGACAGCGCCAAGGCCCAGAGTTCAAGCCCCATGACCGACAAAAAAAAACAAAAACAAAAAACACTACTAGTACTTACTGGGTACCAATGGCTCACTTCTGTAATCCTAGCCACTCAGGAGCCTGAGATCCAGAGGATCATAGTTTGAAGCTAACTAGGGCAGAAAAATTCACAAGACCTCATCACCAATTAGCCAGCAAACAATTAGGTAAGAAGTGTACCTCAAGTGGTAGAGTGCCAGTCAGCTAGCAAACTGAGTAAATGTGATGTCCTGCACTCAAACTGTGTAACTGGGAAGGGGGAAAAAGAAGTTTACAATTTTTTTTTGGTCAATTGTAGGGCTTGAACTCTCTACTACTCACCACTCTGAGCCACAACTCCACTTCCAGTTTTCAAGTGGTAAGCTAGACAAACTGGAGATAAGAGTCTCATGGGTCCTTTTCTGCTCAGGCTGGCTTCAAACTGCAATCCTCAGATCTGAGTAGCTAGGATTACAGTGTGAGAAGTATGAGCCACTAGCACCCAGCCACTACTTGTGTGTGCACACGCATGTGTGTATGTGCCAATACTGGGGCTTGAACTCAGGACTGAGACTTCTTGTCCACTTTTTGTGCTCATGGCTGGCACACTACCACTCAATCCACACTTCTATTTCAGCTTTTCTGGTAACTGGTGATGGAGTCATGTGAACCTTTCTGCTCAGGATGGTTTTAACCATGATCCTCTGGATCTCAGCGTTCCTAGTAACTAGGATCCAAGTAGTTAGGATTGCAACCAATGCCTGGCTAAGACTGCTACTTAATAAAACAAAATCACTTTCTCAGGCAGAAAACTTAACAAGGTAAAGTTAAACCATGCAGGCACTCAGAGCCTAACTTCAGTCACCTCAGTAAAGAGCTTCTATACACCATTCACCAGTTTATGGGGTCAGGACCTGAGGACTGGAGCAGCTAAGATATTACATGCAAACAAACCAAAACATTATGTACCTGCAGTACTGCAGAAAAGCAGCTTTCAGTAGCTTCGTCTTATCTTCCTGTGCTATAGTTTCCTTCTTCATGGAGGTCTCAAAAACTATACTCTGCAAAGAAACAAAGAGGTGAACATCCCAGAATATTCCCAATGCTGAAGAATTAGACTACCCAAGAAGGAAGATACCCCTACAAGCTGTTAGCCAAAGTCTACATGACTTTGTTTATATACTCAGAGAAATGTAACAATGTATCAAAGTACCAGACAAATGACCAAAGACCTATAGATAAGGCAATAACTCAGGGATTATACCATGAGTAAAACTGTTTAGGGATTTACTTCATCATGATCAATATAACCTTTCAAATCTTTCATAGGCTTTCTATTATATAGCTAATTATAATGTATACTATAAGCATTTTGGATGATGAGATTAAATAGCGATTTATAAAAATTTTAAATAAATGGAACATTTTAAGACAGCTTTAGAACATGCAGGAGAACAGCTATAACCACATGATTACAAAACAAACTTTTAAACACATTGCTTTGGCTGGCCCCAATGAGATGTGCCTATCATCTTGAGTTCAGGGCCTTACTACTACACAAAAAAAAATCACAGGAGGCTGAGATCTGAGGATTAGGATTCTAAGCCAGTTTGGACAGACAAATTTGAGAGACTCTCATCTCCAAACCAGCAAAAAACTGGAACTGGATGTGTGGCTTAAGTGGAAAAGTGCCAGCCATGAGAAAAAGTTGACTGAGAGCATAAGGCCCCCAGTTTAAGCTCCATTAGCACATACCCTCCCCACCAACCCAATCAAGCAACAAAAAGCCCTTTACTTTCTGTAGAAATGATATAGAATCATTTTAATTTTGAGTTACAAAAATAGTCTACATACGTTGGGGTCAGTATATTGGGGTATTTTTCATCTGAATAGATTTTGAATAGGTTTTCCTATCCAAGCTGGCTTGAACCTGCATCTTCAGATCTCAGTCTACTGAGTAACTAGGATTACAGGCATGAGTCTCTAGTGCCTGGCTAGAACTGAGGTTTTCATTCCAAATCTCTAAAACTGTCAGATTATGTGAAATATATGAATAAAGTACTGATAAAAAAATATTAAACAACTAGGCGCTGGTGGCTCACACCTGTAATCCTAGCTACTCAGTAGACTGAGGATCAATGTATAAAGCAAACTGGGCAGCAAAGTACGTGAGACTCTTATCTCCAATAAACCACCAGAAAACTGGAAGTGTCAATGTGGCACAAGTGGTAGAGCACTTGTCTTGAGCTGTAGAGCTGAGAGACAATAGACAATGCCCAGGCCCAGAGTTCAAGCCCCATGACCAACAACAACAAAAAGTTAAACAGCCTGGCACCAGTGGCTCATAACTATAACCCTAGCTACTCAGAAAGCCCAGATCTGAAGATTGTGGTTCAAAGCCAGCCCAGGCAGGAAAGTCCATGAGACTCTTACCTCCAAGTAACCAGCTAAAAGTCAGAAGTAGAAGCTATAGCTCAGAAGTAGAAGCTATAGCTCAAGTGGTAGAGCACTAGCCTTGAGCAAAAGAACTCAGAGATAGCACTCAAGTCCTGAGTTCAAGCCCCAGGACCAGTGCATTAAAAAGAAAATAACAGTTAAGCAATCTTATGGAAACTTATTACCTCATTGCTGGGTCCAGCAATGGAAGACGCCAAGGACTCTTCTAAGTCCTCTGCCAACAGGGACATGCTTTCCCTTGAGGTGATAGACACTAGACCATTATTTCTAGAGAAAAGGACAGGAACACCACCATAGGAGCCAGCACCCAAAATGCCATCTCCTGGAATAGAAAAACAAACAAACAAAAAGAGGACACAAGTAGCACAACACACTGTTTAAAATTAACCAAGTGAGAGGGCACCTATACATGTGCGTGCGCACACACACACACACACACACACACACCCCAGAGGACAATCTGCTGTCTAAAGCACACACACACACACACACACACACACACACACACCCCAGAGGACAATCTGCTGTCTAAAGCGCGCACACACACACACACACACACACACACACACACACACACACACACACACACACACACGACAATCTGCTGTCTAAAGCCCAACTCTCTTTCTCTCTGTCTCTCTCTGTCTGTCTCCATCCCACCATCGAGGCCCCATGCAAGAATCAGACTCCATGGGCTTCATTCTGTGCCCACACCTGCATTGCCCTCTGCATAGCCCCTCTGAGCAGAACATCTGCTGGACTTGTCTGAACTACCCCCAGCTCCAGGTCCAGGCATCTGGGATTTCCCTTGCTAGGGGTCTAGACCACATAGGTGAGGAGAAAGTCAACCTCACCAACTAGGATAAACCATTACTTCTTTCAGTGTCATTTCTTTTCTTCTTGGTCACTTACCCTGGGAAAAATGTTACTATTTTGCCCATAAGTGTAAAGGTTTGGGAACCCTTTTCCCTTTGGTTTTCAGATGGGCTGTGATGTCAACAGTTGTACCCTGGTATTAAATATCACCATGGCACTTAAAAAGAAGTAGGCCTAAAGCAATGCCTATGGGAAGATAACAAAACGAACAGGAATGACTACCAATCATGCCTCTGAAAAGTGGCTACAATACCTTGTGCAGTGAAGACAATTTTCTCTGGGGGGAGAGAGGACTTCCCAGTCCCCGTAGAGCATATATAAACTGTATTCTCAGTGTATAGGTAGGCTGCCTGGCTTGAAAAATTTGGGACCATCAATCGACATGTAATGAGATCTTCAGACTGAAAATTAAATTAAGATTATATTTAAGAGAAATGAAATATACGGCAAAAATAAAGGAGGGGGTAACAATGCTTGATAATATAATTTTTACCTTACTCATGTAACTGTAACCCTCTCTGTACAGTATCTTTACAATAAAAAATGTATATTAAAAAAGGAGAAATGAAATAAAATACTTACATGATTTTATAGTCACATTTTGTCATGACACTACCCCATAAAACATGATAAAATGCTAAGTCACTGATTCTCCTGTGAAAACCTAAATACTACCCAAAGTGATTTATAAAATAAGAGACAAGAGACTTGCAAATATTGCACAGGGAGATTTGTATATCTTCAAAATCCCTATGCTGAAACCTACTCTCCAAAATTCCTAGAGGATGTATTGGCAGGTGGGGTCTTGAGAGGAGGCTGTGAGGCCTCTGCCCTAAGCAGCATTAGTGCTCTCAATGGGCATCCCACAGAGGACAAGAGAAACTTCCTCCCTGTGAACACACACAGCGAGATTAATCTAGGAAAGCAACTAACACCAAAAGTAAGAGAATTAGCAAAACATGGGTTGAAGGCTGGGAGGCTCAAATGAGTCCTACTAAGAAAAAAGATTTAAAAAAAAAGAAAAAAGAAAAAAGATTCAAGACAATCAGTCAGACACTGTAATACAAACCTAAATGCAACGAATGAATGACAACTACCACCTTGGCCTCCCTCATGAACATGGGTCCTTAGCAACATACTCAGTTGCTGTCCACAGCTCACCTCATGAGTCTGCCTTCTCAGCTTAGAATATCTCTGAGGAGTTCCTAGCACCAATGCCTACAAATACAATCCCTTTTTCTGTAATACACAGGGCTCAAAACTGAACCTTGTAGTATTTCCAAGCCCTGTAGAGAACCTCAAAGAGCATGACCTCCGAGAGTGCGGAATGGTTTCAGCAGTCAGTGTGTTGCTGACTTTTGTGACTGAACTTACCTGAAAAGGTGGGCTATACTGGGTGACTTCAACAGTGACTGCATCAGACTTTTGGGAGCCATTATCTTCTACAGTTATCAAGGAGTAGTAGATGAGGCAGGGACTGTCAGCAGGGTGCCAAGCTGCTGCCAAGACCAGGAGCCCATCACTAGCCAAAAACAAAGAAAACCACAGCCTCTTTGGAAACAGCCTGGAAGTTCTTACAGACTTAAAAACACACTCACCACATATACTAACAATCTTACTCCCAGTTTCTAACCCAGTGGAAGCAAAAGGTCTGCTCAGATGAACACATACTAAACTGAGAAAACCTAATGTCTTTTTTTGTGAGCTGTTCTTGGGGTTTGAACTCAGTGCTTGGGCATCGTCTCTGAGCTTTTGTACCACTTGAGTGACAGGTCTTGTGGTGTTTTATGGGTTAATTAGAGATACAAGTCTCATGGACTCTACTGCCTGGGCTAGCTTCCAACAACAATCCTGAATCTCAGCCTCCTAAGTAGGTACAATTACAGGGGTGAGGCACCAGTGATGGGCTAACCCAACATTTTTCAACTACTGAATAGATAAATAAGCCTGGTGTACTCACACAATGCAATACTATTTGGCAATGAAAAGAAACACATTATCAATTTCAAATGCACTAAGTGAAAGAAACCAGACTCAAATCTGTAATTCAACAGAATTCAAGAAAATTTTTTCTCCAGTTTGGAATGTGTTGCTTGTGTCCTAAAGGCCTATAAGAACACTGCATAAGGAATGCTGGAGTGGGGTCTCAGAGGAAGGAACCCTGGGGTTTCCCTTCCCACATAGAGCACTGGTCAACCAGTCCTGAAGTGCCTATGAAGGCACTGTGTGACAACCAGTAAGCATGGTACCATGCATCGTGCTACAACGCAGAGACACAGTTAACAAATAACATCCTTAGAATGATGTGAGGACCAGTTTTCCTTGACATCTTTGTAAAACAAAACAAAACAAAAAGCCTTATTTGAAAGTCATGAAGCTGGGCTGAGAAGTTGGCTCAGTGGTAGAGAGCTTGCCTTGCATGCATGAGACCCTGGGTTCGATTCCTCAGCACCACATAAGCAAAAAGAAAAAAGCTGGAAGTGGCGCTGTGGCTCAAGTGGTAGAGCGCTAGCCTTGAGCTGAAGAGCTGAGGGACAGCGCCCAGGCCCAGAGTTCAGGCCCCACGACCGGAGCCCCCCCCCCCCAAAAAAAAGTCATGAAGCTATTTTAATAAAATTCTGAGAAGTAATAAAGGTGATAAATTTATGATAAAAAAGTCCAAGGTTTAAAATGAAAATACCTATGTGGAATTTACCAGTATTTAGTAAAAGAATTTATAAGTCTGCACACTGAAATATAGATTCAGGCTGTCAGATTGTAGCACTGGATAAAATAGGGAACACTGTTAACACTCAGGACAGGTATTGCTCCCAAGCAGAAGACACTCACACAGGGGTTGAATTCTCCATATGTCTGACCACAGACCTTAATAACCTGAGAGAGCAGACTCATATTAGCACAGGTAAAGAAGGTTTGAGGAAAAATCCAAGCTTACTAAGACTGAGGCTGTCACAGGACAAGTGGGAAGCAAAGCTCCCGAACAGCAATTCCTAAGCACAGTTTGTTCTGTCCCCCATTTTATCTGAACACTCACTGTGAAACCCACAGGGGCTATGTATAAGCAGCGTGCTTCTATTTCTAAAAATCCACTACAGATAGGTGAAAACATGTACACTGTAAGTAACCAAAATGTTTGTCAAGGGAAGTAAACACTACTATTTCAGCTCTCTGGTAACTTTTAGAAGGCTTTCAGACTAAAGAAGGAGGCGCTGGGGGTTTAGCCCAGCGGAAGGGCGCGGGCAAGGCCCTGGGTTCGGTCCTCAGCCCTGGGGAAAAAAAAGAAGGAGCACAATGGACTGGAGATGTGGCTCAGTAGTAGTGCCAGCTGTGAGCGAAGGAGTAGTACATTAAGAGCCCAATAGCATAAAGAGAAACTCACATAGAGGTAACTACTATGCTATCCCTGCATGCAAAATTAGTTACTACACTAAATAAAAACACAGTAAACATTGTTATCAAACACATGAAAAACAGTCTTTGATTTTTTACTTTTTCTGGAGACAGTGTCTCACCATGTAGCCCAGGTTTAACCAGTACTTGTTATCTTCTTGCTTGGCCTCCCATGGGCTCCCATGTGAGCCACCACACCCAGCCTCAGCATCGTTTATAAGAGGAATTCACTGTAAGCATAAACCATGACCAAGTTCTCACTGTACTATCAAGACAAAGCCTAGTCCCATTCTTGGCCTGCTTAGCTTAACCATCAGCTAAGCCACCAGAGCTCCCTCAGAACACAAGTGCCCAATGTCACCACAAGACATAGACTACAGCTTGGAGCAGTCACAAGGACAGCAGAAGGGCAGTCTTGGCGTCACCTGAAGACAAAGTGAGGAAAGAGCTGCTCCAGCTGAGAGTAGAGAAGCGGCAGTTCTTATAGACAGCCGCCCTGGTAAGAGCATACTGCTTTCAAGTGGGAAAGCCTCCGTTCTCGGATGAACCAGTGCCTAGGTGACAGCAAGACTGCGCAGGAGGCTGAGCAGGGCTGAGAATGGTACTAGCAGCTAGCATAAATGACTTCTCAAGTAAGTTGCTATGGCTTAGTGCTTATGTTTTACAGGACAGGTGTTTGAAATCTGGCTTCCCACTTACTAGGTAGGCACTTCACTGCTGAACCATCTAGTCTGTAATCTAATTTCTTTACAACAAATTCACTGCTTACCAGTTTTGTTTCAAGTCCAAATAGCGAATGTTGACTCCTTCTTTAATAGCTTCATAGTTGCTTTCAGATCCCTGGATGGGAATATCAAAATGTAAGGTTGCTAGGACAGACTTTTCACCTCTGCATCCTGGCACCCAGGGAGGTGCCACCACAGCTGTGGCAGCAGTTGTGGAGAGGAACATACACTTGAAACCATAATTTAAACAAGTAAATACTTAATCAGTAAGTTCCAATATAGGTTGGGATTGAACCCCCTACTACTTCTGCTTATTTGATGGTCCTACCCTCTCAGATTATATAGAAATGTGTTCAGATAGATAAGGCAGGAGGACTGGTGTGGTGGCATATACCAGTAACCCAGCACTCAGGAGAATCATAAAGTTGAGCCTAGACTAGGCTAATTAGCAAGATTATAAAAAAACAACAAAAAAATAAGCAAACAAAACAAAAATAAGGAAGGAATATCATCATACACCATAAACATGAGCCAGAAACATAAACATTATTGTTCCTCACCCAAATAGCATCAGTGATGTTTTCCTTTAGAGCTCGATGTACATCCCAAGTGTGTGCTAGTTTCTCTGAGGAGTCATCCAATTCCCATTTACTGATGTTTGAGTTTGTCAGACTATAGAAGCTCGAGTTTCCTTTGTCCCAAAGAACACCAGCCAACTGCACAGTGAAGGGAAAATGCTTACAAATTGGATTCTAGCTGGAATCTTGAATTTCATGCTTTATGGCTATGTAACTGTCATCTCCCCAGAATCCCTCACTCAGGATTTGAAGAAGTAAAGTTCCTGAAATAGACCTTGAAAACAAAGTAGGACCTCCACATGCACAAAGAAACAGAGCACAAAAGAATCAGGAAGAGAAGAGCTGGGGGATGGTCAAGTTACCATGTCCATCTTCAGGGAGCAAGTCCTGTTAAACCGGAAAACAATAAGGCCTCTTCCTTTAAAAATTAAGAATGCAGTTTGTTTGCATGCATAAAAATACAATAATGAAATGTTAGAATTGATTTAGAAAGGGGGAGAAAGGTAAGGGAGAGTGATAGAGAAGATGAGATTGAGTGGAATACATTGTACACATGCCTGCAAATGTCACAATAAAACACCCATGTACCTCCAATGTATGCTAATAAAAAAATAAGAGGGGCTGGGAATGTGGCTTAGTAGTAGAGTGCTTGCCTAGAATGTATAAAGTCCTGGGTTTGATTCCTCAGTACCACATAAACAGAAAAAGCCAGAAATGATGATGTGGCTCAAGTGGTAGAGTACTAGCCTTGAACAAAAGAAGCTCAGGACAGTGCCCAGGACTTGAGTCAGGACTGGTTAAAAAAAAAAAAACCAGGGCTGGAAGGTGGCTCAGTGGTAGAGCGTGTGTCTTGCATGCATGAGGCCCTGGATTCGATTCCTCAGCACCACATAAGCAAAAAGAAAAAAGCCGGAAGTAGCGCCGTGACTCAAGTGGTAAAGCACTAGCCTTGAGCTGAAGAGCTGAGGGACAGTATCCAGGCCCAGAGTTCAGGCCCCACAACTGGACTCAAAAAAAAAAAAACAAGAGAAGGATGGGCAAGAAAAGTAACTGGGATAAAGGGTGTTCTCCAAGTATGCACAAGGTTCTGAGTTCATTCTCTAGTTCCAGTAAAAAAAACAACTAATTAAATACATATGGAAGTAAAAAAAGAATGCGAAATTAAATATAGTAGATTCTTGTGTGTAAGACTATAAACCCAGTAAACAAGCAAGTTGTTGCCCATGCCTTTTGAGCAGAGCTGTTCTTAAACAAGTCTGGGGGGAAGGGGCATGTGTGAAATTTGTCGTGTGTGATGTTGGCTGACGGACTTACAAAGTAGTAACTGACTTATGAAGCAGATATGTGTTGTCTAAGCTGGATGTATACAACAGTCCTGAGCAAAGGAAGGTCTTGTCTCTATATCTGTCTCCAAAACTCTGGACAAGGATGGGGAAAAAAGGGCCAGCAGTAGGCAAACTGGACTGGAACAGGTCCCTGGGTAAGATTTACCAGAGTGCAGACAGGCATACAGACAGGAACAGGAAGCCAGGGTGAAATGAGCCGTGAAGGAAGCACCTGGCGATTGACTGAGGCACTGTACAGGAGAGGGAGACCCAAAGAACAGTGTCATGGCTTTAAGCCTCATCATCAGCAAACTAGACACAGACTGTATACTTCATAGCCTGTCATAATGATTACGAGAGGGCAAATGCAGAGCTGCTCGAAGAGCAGACACTCCCCAAAGCATTACCCCATTACCCTCCCTTCCCCAGGCTGAGTGGGGACAGCAGTCCAGTCAACAGGTATAAATGCAAGCCATTTTCAGAAGGTCTGGGAGGAAGGATGTATTTCACATGAAGGCTAAAAAGTCAAATTAATCTTTAAAAAACACACTCTAGATTTTACATGATGGCTTTGATTTGTATGGAGCCAATGCCAACTTCCTTGTAGCTTTCAACTTACTGGCTTTACTTAGAAACCAAGTTTTTTATTGTAAGCCAGATATATTTTTTTGATGGCATTCTTTTTTAATTTAAATTTTATTGTAAAGGTGATATACAAAGGAGTTACAGTTACATAAGTTAGGTAATGAGTACATTTCTTTTAGAACAGCGTCCTTCCCTCCCTCACTTTCTCCCACTTTTTCTCTCTTGACTATAGGCACGAGTGCCTATAGTGCTTATCACTGTAAAATTGGTTCACTCTTTGTCCCACCATTTCTGTGATTTACCTTCCCTTCCCCAAATCAGATAAACTTAATACAAGACAAAGGGTACAGAAATAAAAAACAGTGACAACAGGGAATAAAACAAAGGAAAAAAAGAAATAACTGAAAACAGTACAATAAAAAACCTTGTTTCCATTTCTTGGAGTTCATTTTGATAAGAAGACATTCTTCATTAGTATTGTATTTTATTTTGTCAGTCATACGGCTTGGACTCTGGGCCTGAGCACTGTCCCTCAGCTCTTCAGCTCAAGGCTAGCACTCACCACTTGAGCCATAGCACCACTTCCAGTTTTCTGGTGATTAACTGGAGCTAAGAGTCTAACGGCCTTTCCTGCCCTGGATGGCTTTGAACCTTTATCCTCAGATCTCAGCCTCCTGAGTAGCTAGGATTATAGGCGCGAGCCACCGGTACCCGGCTTCATTAGTATTTTAGGGAAAGCTCTCTACTCCAATCTTAACAAACTACCCAAACTGGTACCTCTTTCCCTCCATTCACAGAAGATAAGCGTAACCAGACATTTTATACTTACCATGAGGTCACTACTTGGAGACAAAATTCCAAAAAGGGAAGAAACACGGCGACCGATTCCTGAGAGCATGCCATGCCCCTGGGGCAAGGTGTGCTGGTGAATCTTCCCAGAGCTTTCAGGTATCAACCGGATCAGCTGGCATCCAACTGAGGACAAAATAAAACTTCCTCCCTGTAAATAAATAAGGTGAGATTAGTTTAGAACAACAACAATAAGTTCAGGAAAACAATTATGATCATGAGAACTAGTGAAAAAATGGTTATAGTGCTTGAGGCATAGCTCAAGTAATAGAATACTCACCTATCAAGTGCAAGGTCCTACCTTCAAAATCCATACCAGAAAAAAACTTCAATTCAGAGAAAAAAATATTCCCATGTTATACAAATCTAAATGAATAAACCCCCCACTATTAATAAAATATTTTAAGAACTTATTCTACATATAAAAATTTCTATATAACTAGTAAAATAACTAATAAAAATAATGTAAGCTGGATGGGGGGAGGGGGGTAGAATGGAAAGGGATGGGAAGGGGAAACAAAGAGGAGGCAACAATGCTTGATAAGAAATGTACTCGTTATCTTGCCCATGTAATTATAACTGCTCTGTACAGTATTCTCACAATAAAAAAAATAAAGAAAGAAAAAAAAAGAAAAAAATAATGTAAGCTAATTTAAAAAACTACAACAGAAAATTTCCTATTTTCTTTTTTCTTGACATAGGGCTTGAACTCTGGGCCTGGGCGTTGTCCCTGAGCTCTTCAACTCAAGGCAAGTGCTCTACACTTTGGGTTTTCTAGTGGTTAATAGGAGATAAGAGGCTCATTGACTTTCATGCCTGTGCTGGCTTTGAACTGCAATCTTCAGATCTCAGCCTCCTGAGTAGCTAGGATTACAGGCTTGAGCTACCAGTGCCCGGCTTAAATTTTCCATTTTCTGAATCTGATTTTTAAAATTATAGGTGGACCATATTGCAGCTCAACAAATTAAATGTTTTATTTCTTTGGTATAATTAGAGTAGATGCTTGCATGCATGCTTTAGCGTCTGTTTCTAAGCTACTCTCGTAAAGCAATCTTAAGGAGGTTAACACCGCTCTCTTCTACTGGACAGGGTCATGTTAATCCTATGAGGGAAGCCCGAAGCCCCTTTCACCTAGCTGCTCTCAATCACAGGCCTTCATTTTTCTGTTCCTTGTTCTTATTTAATAGTCTATCCTTCCCTGGACTCCTTGGCCAGAACCCCTATTTTCAGTCATTCTAATTTCACTGCCAGTCTGAGCCATGGCTTTCCCATAAATACAAGGAATTTCCCCCACACCTGCACTGCAGTCAGAAACATGCAAGTCTTATCGCCCCCCAAATCCACACAGGTCTCCGTGTAGGTGTCCTCTCCAGCAAGGCTTGGCCAATAGCGGATGGATCCCTCTCTGGTGGCAACCATAACAGCCACAGCCTGAAAACAAAATCACAGTCCAGTCAGTAACCACATAAAAGAAGGCTCTACTACCTGGGAGTCTGACAACAGGTGATATTAGACACAAGAACTGTTTCAAAACTGGTAAAAATAGTCTAATTGGGTAATTGACTTTCCCTCCTTTGCATGGTTCTATGAATTTTAACATGTGGAGTGTAATTAACCGCATACCATAAGGGTATTGAACAGTCCCGCCATCCCCAATCCCCTTAGTGCTGTCCCTTGTAATCATGCCCTGACACACCTTAACCCTAGCAATCCAGTGCCCACAGCTGTAGCCCTCTCTGAGGACACAGAACAGTGAGATCACACAGAGGAGCACAGCAGTCAGACTTTGCTCCTTAGCCGAGCTGAGACTCATCAAGGCAGCTGTAGCATCTGAGGTCCATTTCATTTTGCTGTTGGTGTCACCCATCCCTTGAGTGTAGCTTGCTAAAGATCTGTGTAATTCCTAGCTTTGGTACCACCTTCACGTATAGTTTTGTGTGATTGAGGATCAAAATTTGAAGCCAAACCCAGCAGGAAAGCCTGTCAGACTCTTACCTCCAATTAAATACCAAAAGAGCCAAAGTGGAGCTGTGGCTCAAACAGCAGAGAACTAGTCTTGAGCACAAAAGTACAGGGACAGCGCCCAAGCACAGAGTTCAAGCCTAGGATCAACACAAAAAATTCCATTGTGGGTGTCAAATTTTCTTGGTCCATTCATCCACTGTAGAGCATCTGGGCTCCTTCTATAGCTTGGCTACCATGAATAACGCAGCAAGGAATATAGATGTGCAAGTATATCCTCACCTGTAATATTCTGGATGCTCAAAAGTGGTATGGCTGGGTCACAGGGTAGTTCTATGTTTTTTTTGCGGAATCTCCAAACTGTCTTTCAAAGTAGTTGCACTAGTTTATGCTCCCAACAGCAGTGTAATAAGGTTCTTTTTCCTGACATCCACAGCAGCATTTATAACAATAAATGTATAATGATAAATTTGTATTCTTGATGATGGCCAATCTTACTAAGATGAGATGGAATCTCAATGTTCTCATTTGTATTTCCTTTAGAGATGCTGAACATTTCTTTTTGTGTTTACTGGCCATTCTTACTTCTTCGACGACTGCATTTAACTCCTTTGCCCATTTATTATATTTGGTTTATTTCTTCTTTGAGAGTTTAGTTTCTTGAGCTGGCTATTAGGCCCTTGTCGGATGTATAGCAGGTAAAGATCTCCCATTCTTTAGGCTATCTTTTTAGCTTGGTAACGATGTACTTTGCTGTGCAGAAACTTTTTAGCTTGATGCAGACTCATTTGTCCATTTTCTCTCCAATCTGTTGAGCCCTTGGAACTCTACTCAGGAAATCCCTGACTGTGATAACAACTTCTAAAGTTTTTCCTATTCATTACTGCAGTAGCTTTAAAGGTTTCATGTCTTGGTTAGCTTTTAGACCACGTACCTGAACCGAATGTGTTTCACCTGAGGCTGCAGAGTAAGACAGGGCCACCAGGTCAGTGCTCAAGTGGAGATCACTAAGTGGCAGCTGAAGCTCCTTGCAAACCGACAACTGCAGAATCAATCAAACAGAAATTCTTTCACATTAATGCTTGGAAGGCCAAGATATTTCTTCCCCTCCATCATAAGCCATTCTTAGAGGCTCAGTTACCAGAAGTGGTCCTCAGGACCTGCAGCAGCTGAATTTCACAAGATAAACCATGCCTACCCAGCCCAGCCATGCCCTGCTCAGTCCCCTGCTCTCCCTGCTCTGATAATAAAAGTAGCAAGGGGGCTTGGGGGACAAGAGGGCCCTACTGTTGCAGATTTCCCAGGGCCTTTGAGAGGATGAGGCTGGTTAAGGAGAATGGGTTGGTCCATGACCAAAGTTCTGCCAGTGGGGTGGTATACAAGAAAATAAAGCATCATGAAAAGGGCTGCCTCTGCTGGCATCACTTCCACAGACATGGTGGGTATTAAGTATGTGGTAGGACCAAACAGAGTAAATGCACAGGAAAAAAGTCTCTGTGTGGGGGTTGGGGATTTAGCTCAGTGGGAAAGTAGTTGCCTAGCAAGTACAGGGCATGCATGTGCACGTGTGCATGCATGCGCAAATACACACACACACACACAGCAACTAGGACCCTATGTGCCTAGGTAAAGTGGTATGTGACAGGAAGCAGAGGAATGCAGTGGATAGACTAAGTCCATTTTCCAGAAAAGGCCAAACTATAAGGAAGAAGATGCTAAAGCTTGGAGCAGGTTAAGCTCAGCTGCAGAACCAAGAGAATTCACCTGGTGAGAAACTCAAGCTTCATCTTTTACTATGAAGACAGTGACACCACCGAATCTGGTGCTCTGGGGTTTTTGGAAGAGAAGAAACTACAGATGTCCATTTTAAAAATTATTAAAAGAGAAGACACTTTTTCTTACCAACATACAAATCTGTATGCATACTCAGTACCTGACATCACAGATAATGCATAGACTAAGCTTTTACCTTAGTCACAGGTGACGGAGTAATCTTCCAAATGAGGAGTTTCTCTTTGCAAACCAGATAAGCCCATCCACTTTCATCCACAAAGACAGACAGTGGATCGTCAACTAAAAGGGAAAAATGAGGTATGCAATTAATCTTAAATTGCAACTGTTTAAATTTCCTTATAGCACATGCTTCAACAGAACAAGTAATAAAAATGCACAAAAAGATTAATTCACTACAGCCAGATGTGGTGAGGCATGCCTCTAATATCAGCTACTTGGGAGATTGAGGCAGGTGATGGAAAGGTAAGTGCAGTCCAGGTAAAGTTAGTGTGAAACCTTCAACAAAATACAAAGGAAATGGATATGTGGTTCAATGGGTACCTCCCAGAATGTGTTGAGGCCTTAAGTTCAAATCCCAGTACTGCTCAAACATGAATTACAAAAAAAAAAGGAAAAAGAACATAGAAAAGCACTATTCCAAAAAAGCACAAAGGACTAGAGGTGAATCCTTAATGAAAGAACTGAAGCAATGGAGGGCACTCGGCACTCGCAGTCTCTCTATTCTTACTCTTAGGCACTCTTTTTAAGTTTGTGTTCACTGCCCACCCCCAACTCCTACACCTAGTTCTCTGTCAGCAGAACGTTCTAAGTAGTATGAACTGATACACACAGCTCCTAAGATACTACATGGAATATATTAATGAAGGTGGAGCTCCATCTTACTCTATTATTGCTTTTTTATTAGCTTACATTAGCTGTACAAGGGCTTCATTGTAACATTTTCACACAAATACAAATCATCTCTCTCCCTTAATGCTCTCCCTTATTTCCCTTTCTTAAAATAGTTTAAACTGATTTCATTGTTCAATTTATACATTAAAAAACAAACTACTCCAATTACATTCCTCCTCATTCATTCCCATGGTTAGCTACTCCTTTCCAGTTATTTACCCTTACTGCATTATTAAACCAATAATGCAAAGCACTAGGCTTTTGGCTTTTTTATTTGTTTGTTTTGCCAGTCCTGGGACTTTTACTTAGGGCTTAGGCACTGACCCTGAGCTTCTTTTGCTCAAGGCTAGCTCTTTACCACTTGAGCCACTGTGCCAACTCTGGCTTTTTTATGTGGTACTGAGGATCAGACTCAAGGCTTCCTGCGTGCTAGGAAAGAACTCTAACCCTAAGCCACATCCCCTCTCCCTGCCACACCTGTTTTTGTTAAATAGTTAATCTTATACCTGATCGACTTTTGAAATGGTTCTGAATTTTGCAGAAATGACACAACCATTAAAAACTTAATGTGTTGTGTTAAAATAATTGATTCTCAAATTTATATCTCAATTGAGTGAAAAATTAGCTAGATTCCCTGTTCCTCTCCATAGGTGAAAGTATCCCGGAGAAAGGCAATGGTCAACCTCTATGCCAGACCCAGGTTTTGTCTGAATTGCTAATGGGAGCAAAGATGCCACTTACCCTCAGCCATTGTTAGGGCTTCCATGACTTTCACAGGGAGAGATGATCCAAATGTTTTTACATCATAGTTCACAAACTCCATTATGGACTGGTGTGGGACTGTCCGTGTAGGTGTTCCTCTAAAGAAAAGATGCCATATCAAATAACTCTACTCACATATTGACATTTTCTACTATCTTAGTCTTTATGCATGTGATCACAGATTTTTGGTAACAAAATGATGCAGTGTACCAGTGAGGAAAAAGGATCATGTGTATTGTGAATACCTGGCTTTCAGATCCTATGTTCAGTCATTGAAATGTATAAATATGTCTCTTCTCAGGAAATCAGTACTTAATTTTCTGCCAGTACTGGAGCCTGAACTCAACACACTCTCATTGGGCTCCCACCCAACCCACTCTCAGCTGATGCTCACCACCTGAGCCCTGCCTCTAGCTCAGCACTTTGAAGAGCACTTTTCTAAACACATGGGTATAGTATATTCCCTTATAATCCTTCTTCTTTAAAGGACTGAATAATTTTTTCTTTCTTTCTTTCCCTCCCTCTCTCTCTCTCCTTTTTGCCTTTCTTTCTTTCTTTTTCTCTCTCTCCATTCCTTTCTTTTCTTGTGCTGGTCCTAGGGCTTCAACTAAGGGTTCAGGCACTTTCCCTGAACTATTTTGCTCAAGGTTGGTGCTCTACAACTTGAGCCACAGTTCCACTTCTGGCCTTTAGGTGGTTAACTGGAAATAAGAACCTCACAGACTTTCCTGCCCAGGCTGGCTTTGAACCACAATCCTCAGATCTAAGCCTTCAGAATAGCTAGGATTACAGGTGTGGTCTACCATTGTGTGACTGAATAATTTTTATATATAAATTTTAACAGAAAGTCAAAGACTCAACATTTGTTGTTTTCCTGTAAAGAAAATTTACTATTGAAAGATGAGCAGAAGAAACTAATGAGGAACACATGTTACCTGCTTCTGAAGTTCTGGATTAGTTTAAACAGGAGGAAAAGCAAAATTCCATTAGTCATATGGATTGGTGCTCCTACTTGTTCTTCAGAAGACTTTTCCCCATAGCAGAACTACAAAGTTAAATTTTATTGCCAAAAGCCCTGCAATTACCAATAAACAGTCCCAAAATAGTTGTGTATCAGACCCTAAACAATTACTCAGGGGCTATGAGATCTGTTCTTTTTGCATGTGTGTGTGCCAGTCCTAGGCCTTGAATCTAAGGTCTGAACACTGGCCCTGAGCTTTTTGCTCAAGCCTAGCACTCTATCACTTGGGCCACAACTCTACTTCCTGCTTTTTGGTGGTTAGTTGGAGTTATGAGTTTCAGGACTTTCCTGCCCAATCTGCCTTCCTTCAAACAGCCTTCTGAGTAGCTAGGATTACAGGTGGGAGCCACCAACACCCAGTCAGCTTTTTTTTTTTTTTTTTTTTTTGATGGCACTATTTCAGTTTGAATTCAGGGCCTCACCCTTGCTAGGCAGGCATTCCACTACCTCTATCTAGGCTTTTTTCATCCAGGTTATTTTTTAGATAGAGTCTTGCTGCTTCTTCCCAGGGATACAGCTAGATGTCAAAATGCCCGTTTTAGGCTTTCTGTGGTAGCTGAGATGACAGGTGTGTACCACCACACACAACTTTTTTTGTCCAGGTGAAGTCTTGAATGCTTAGCTGTGGCCTGACACAGTCACTCTCCCATTCTCAGCCTCCGAAGTAACTAGAATTATGTAGGTTTGAGCAACTAGTACCCATGAAGGCTCCCTACAAGAGGTCATTTCTCCTTCCTTATTTGAATTGTTATTATTATTTTCTCCTGTCTTACTGATGCCAAGGCATTCCAGAACAATACTAAGAGTATGAAGAGTGGGCTGGGTACCAGTGACATACACCTGTATTCCTAGCTATTCAGGATGCTGAGATCTAATGGTCTCTCTCTCTCTCTCTCTCTCTCTCTCTCTCTCTCTCTCACACACACACACACACACACACACACACACGACCAAGGTAATGTGAAGGGTTTTATTTCATTTTAAGTAACTGACCTTCAAAAAACAGATTTTGTCTTTTATCCAGACAATTTTTCATATTTCTACTTGATAAGGTATAGTGTACAAAGATGAAAACATTTTCCTCCCATTCCTTGAGAATTTGGAAATTAAGCGTATTTCTATTATGGTAACATAATTATCTGTATTAAGGTTCTGTAAGAATCTGCTCTCTTTGACATAGGATATAATAGAAACAATGATATTACCAAGACCTTGGACTTGAGGATATACATACATATCTGAAGAATGCCTTGTGTGCTTTCTTAATCTTGAGAAGTTTAAAAGGTGCAATTTAAGCTGGGCACTGGTGGCTCATATCTATTAATTCCAGTTACTCAGGAGGCTGAAATCTGAAGATCGCAGTTCAAAGCCAGCCTGGGTAGGAAAGTCTGTGAGATTCTTATTTCCAATTAACCACCAGAAAACCAGAAGTGGCACTATGGCTCAAGTGGCAGAGTGCTCGCCTTGAACTGAAGAGCTAAGGGACAGCGCCCAGGCCCAGAGTTCAAGCCCAATGACTGACCAAAAAAAAAAAAGGTACAATCTGAGATTGCTTAACAAAATTTCCATCAAGGGTTAGAGATCAGAGTAGAGTGCTTCTCTAGTGCATTTACTTTTGATTTGATCTCCAGCATTGAAAAAAAGTTTCATCAAAGGCCAATCACTATTCTTGCTGCCCTTATATAATCAGGTCTAATCTGATGAGAATGAAGTCATTACTCTGATTATCTGATAGAAGTAGGAGAGAAAAAAAATCATTTTTGAAGAAGAACTTGCAGTCTTGATAACTTTCTCTTTCTTTCTTTCTTTCCTTTTCTTTCTTTTTTCTACCTGTAGCCTGGACAGGATCCTGAATTTTCTAGGTTCTATCAGTCCAATTTTCTTCATGGGACCAGGAATAATTACTATACTCCTAAGGCCCTGAAACTGGACAACTCAACATAAATCTCAAATTAAACCATCCAATGTCATAACCAGAGACATTTAAATTGCAAACCAGGATAAAAAGTGGATCATAAGGGGCTGGGAAGTTGGCTCAGTGGTAGAGCACTTGCTTTGCATGTCTGAGGCCCTGGGTTCGACTCCTCAGCACCACATAAGCAAAAAGAAAAAAGCCAGAAGTGGTGCTGTGGCTCAAGTGGTAGAGCGCTAGCCTTGAGCTGAAGAGCTGAGGGACAGTGCCCAGGCCCAGAGTTCAGGCTCCACAACCGGACCCCCCCCCCCAAAAAAAAAAGTGGATCATAAATCATGCTATGGACAGCTTTCCCAAGTCCTCAGAACAAGAAGCCTAGCACAATGAGAGGCTTGCCAAAGAATTTTCTCTCTTGTTCCTATTATTAACAGGAATATGCTGTGTTCTAAAATCAGGAGTTTCTGCAGATGAGATAAACTTTGAAACATTAAACTCAAACCTTTACATGACTTAAGACATCCTTTGGTCCACCTAGTGGGTAACTCTAACATCTCCAAGGCAGCCATGCAATCATTCAAATTGTACTCGTGGTCGCTTTACAGAGTTAAAACTTCTAGGCCCATTTGTTCAATATTCTTCAATTTAATCCTGTTTGTGGTACACTGTAAGAATTGCTAGGTAGGCTAAAACTTTAACTCAGTGATACAGTGCTTGGCTAGCATGTACAGGCACTAGGTTTGATTCCCAATACTGCAAAATGAAGGAATGAAAATTTCTACCTAGTAAACAAGGAAGAAACTGCAGTTGCGGAGACTCTAAAGTTTTCACGAGGATTTTAGTGAAACACAGGGTCAAAGGGTTAAGGACCCATGTAAAAAGGAGAAACATTTCCGGCTCCTCATGCAGGAAATGGAAGTTAAAGATGCCTTGCTAACACTTCTTGTTGCCCACAGATAAATACACTGGGTATCTTACAAGCTGAGTTGGAAAAAGAAACACGGAACACAGTCTTCATTTAAAACAGATTGCTCATCTGGCTCATTCGGAGATGCGTTTGGTTCGTGGGCTACCGGCAGGTAGCCATCCATCAAATGTCAAACAGTTTGGATAGAACAATGACAACCATAACAAAACACCACAAAGAAACGTGTGATCATGATTGCACTGTCAACTGTGGACGACTTATTAAGACTAGAACACCAGAAAGAGGGTAGTAGCATAAAATGCCTGCATTTTGCTCTCTCACCTAGAGAGAGCTTAAGCTGAACTAGGAACTGGAGTTTCTGACGCAAAGAGCTGCGAGTCAACCGATAACCCAGTCCAAGTAAAGCCCCGTATCCTTCCCAGTGCCCGCCCCCGCCACGCACGGGCGAAGGGCCGAGTCCGCAGGGCGAGACCCGGCCAGACGACCACCTACCTACCTGGAGCTCAGGGAGCTCCGCCGGCCTACCGGCGAGAAGAGCGCCGGGGAGCCGCCGGCAGCCCCCACAGGCAGACCTCGCCTGCCGGCCGCGCGGGGTGTGGACGCTGGCCCAACTCCGGCCAGGGGGGCTCTCCTGGGCCCGGGGCCCGGGGTCCGCGGAGAGGGGACAGCCGGGAACATGACTGCAGAAGGCCGCGGCGGACCGCTTCAGCTTCACCACAGAAGCGCGGGCCTTGCGCGCTCGGAGTTGAACGTCCAGGGGGCGGGGAGGCGCTTGCCGAGGACTTTAAGACGTCACACGTCAAGACGTCACACGTCAAGACGCACCGCCAGGACCCCTCCGCGACGCGACGCTCCAAGCCGGGGGGGCGTGTTCCGAGGGGGCCAGCGAGCGCACAGCGATGACGAAAGCACCGCGCCCGGTCTTTGAGGGAGAAGGAGGACGCACAGCGTTGATGTCAAGAAGCGTCGCCGCGGGGCGTGGCTGGGATGAGATGGGCGCGCTGGAGCGCGAAAGGCCCAGCTCTTGCAGAGCGAGCCCGGGGATGTCAGCGGTCTGCAGTCTCTGCGAGGCTGTGGGTCTCGGGGTCTCCGGGGTGGGAGGCCGGGGTTGTCGTGGGGTTTCTGGGACGGAGGCCGGGGTTCTCTCGGGGTCTTTGGGACCGAGGCCGGGGTTGTCTCGGGATCTCTGGGACGGGATACCGGGGTTGTCTCGGGGTCTCCGGGACGGGAGGCTGAAGGGGCCTCGGGGGTCTCTGGGACGGGAGGCCGGGGCTGTCGTGGGGTCTCCAGGACTGGAGATCGGGGTTGTCTAGGGGTCTCTGGGACGGGAGGCCAGAACTAAAGCACACCTGATTTGGTCTAGTATCTTCTCTCTCTACTCTACCTGAAACTGCACATACCCTCAATGCTCATTAATTCACAACTTGCCTGTGCTTATTTCCTCTTCTGTAAAATGAGACAACTCACAGGACTCTCAGAGCAGCAAATATGGTGATGTGCAAGCACTTAGAAACCAAGTGGTGCCACAACAGTGCTCGCTACAGCACTTTTGTAGCATTTGACTATTGTTACTAATTTTGCCTAACTCTCTCCCCCACCCCACCCCACCCCTCAATACTAGAAGCGCTTTAAGGGGAGTCCTGAGTCCTGTCATCAGCTCCTGGTCCCTGGCAAAGGTGGCTGCTAAGTGAAACAACTAGACAGCAAACACTGGGGACCCAGCTATCTCCCACTAGGAGGAAGGGGTTCCAGCTGTGATCCCTACTTGCTTTTGTTAAATTGTTTCTTTATTCCCAAATCTCCATAGCAAATTCCAATAAGAAATAATATGGTATGAAACTCGTAAGAAGGGACAGTCATAGATAAAGTTCATTATAAATTTTAATCAGTGATAAAAAATGTTAGACACAAATAATCTTACATTAGAAAACAAAATAGAGTGATCAAATTCAATGTTGTACATATGTCTGTGGAACAAAGGGATTCCCCCCAGACTAGCTGTATTTAGTTTGCCTTCCAAAAACCACACTATAATGGCAAAACTATATAAATACAGGTACCAGTGGATCACGCCTGTACTCCTAGCTCCTCAGAAGGCTGAGATTTGGGGACTGCAGTTCAAAGCCAGCCTAGTAAGGAAAGGCTGTGAGACTCTTACCTCCAATGAGCCACTAAAAAGCCCAAAGTAAAATTGTGGCTCTAGTGATAGAGCACAAACTTCAAGTTCTCAGGACCTGAGTTCAAGCCCAACACATACACACACACACAACACAGCTTCTTAAAATGCTTGTCACAGATGTGGTATTTACTAAACATTACACACTAGGCATCAGTGGGTCACACCTGTAACTGATTACCCAGGAGGCTAAGAGTTGAAGGATTAAAGGTCAGAACCAGCCCAGGCAGAAAAGTCCTTGAGATTACACCTCCAATTAGTAAAATGCCAGACTGGAGATATGGCTCAAGTTGTATATGCCAGTCATGACTGATGAAGCTGAGACTTCAATCCTTGGTACGGGCACAAAGAGAAAAAAAATTAAAAATCACTATGCTCACTCACCCATTGAATCCTTTTAACTCATTAATACACTCCCTCCTGTAGAATAAAATGTAAAACTCCATTAGTCCCATGAAATCGTAGTTTCTTCCAGTGTAGTCAGGGACAGCGGGCCTTAAGGGCATGGCATAGGCACCAACCAAGTCTCCCTAAGGCTCCAGCATCGTTAGTACAAGAAAGTGCTGTTCTGGAGGCAAAAGCAAGTCTGCAGCACTCAGACCTTTACGAAGTGTGAAGCAGAAGAAGTTTCTAATGTCCTTTTAGGACATTAATGTCCTAAAAGTCAGGGCCACAGTAGTAAGGACGTAGCAGCTATCCTCACATGTCTTAAGGCTAAAAATTGGCGCTTGTATCCAGATACAATGAAATTTCAAAAAAATTGTAAAAACTGGGTTTTTAAGCAGAAATTTTCAGAATACATGCCTCCAGCAACTTTGAAAAATTCATTTTTATCCATCTTTCTTAATAATACTGGTTTATTTATGCCTTGGTTCCCCAAAGTAGTCATAGAAACAAATATGTGAATAAAGGAAAAAAAGCTTTCCCATTCAAAGGGTGGAGATTCTTCCCTTTGTAAATGCAGACTTTTACCTGCCAAAACGTTGGGAACTGCACATACTTAAACTTGTCCATCGCCCACAGGATCCTGTATCTCTGAAGACACTGAGGCAAAGGGACCGACAGCCCCTTCTCCATCTGACCAATTCACTGTTGCTGCTGGTATGTTATGTAGTTCCTGTTGTGAGCTGCTTGGGACACAATCCGGGCTTACATCTTTACTTCTCATTACTCTGCCAGAAAAAGTAGGCCCTAGGTAGGTGAGCCCCAGTGAATGGTAAACCAGCCTTCAATAATGAGGCTTTATTTATAATGCCCTTTTAAAAGTTGCCAGCTTCAATCTATTACAGCAGGCATAAGAAAATGAGGTGTCATGATGTATTAAAATGTTCCAAGATAAAAACTATAAGACCTAAAAATACCTTCAGTGCTATAGATGTTTACAAAGTTACAATTATTAAGACTATGAATAAAGATGTCTTAAAGACAGTATATTTTGAAACAATAGTTTACGTTCTTTGGGGAAATAGGCATGTTTCAATAATCTGTGAATAATTCACAGATTGCATACAATCTCTAAGATTTTTTTTTTAAGTTGGAATCTTGCTCTGTAGCCTAGGCTGGCCTCAAACTGGCAAGCCCCCCTGGGATGACAGGCCATGCACCCCAGGCCTCTGCAGCAGCTGCTTCTTTATGCTGATATAGGATTCTGCTTGTTCATTAGTTTTCTGTATATGCCATCTGGTTTTGAAAGCAGTTCTTCATGCTTCCCATGTTCAATGATTTTTCCTTGGTTGAGAACAGCAATGAGGTTAGCATTCTTAATGGTGGACAGACGGTGGGCAATGATTAGCACGGTTCTTCCCTCCATCAGTCGATCCAGAGCCTCCTGGACCAGGTGCTCATTCTCAGCATCTAGTGCACTGTCACGGACAGGTCACATATGATAGGAGGCAAAGCGGTCAGTGTCATGCATACCATTTGCTCACATGCCTCCTATCCCACACTGAGCAGTGTCTCCTCTGATTGAAATTCCACTGCTGTATCTGAGGATGCTGTAAAAAGGTAGCGTGGAGCATGTTTGTCTATATATTTATGCTGAAATTGGGCCACAAAGGCTCACCACAGGAGTGCTGACTGCCGCCGATCTGGACCAATCAGGGTAGGCCTGACCCTGAGCTCAAACCCCTCATGACCTGACTGCCACTGCCCTCCTGTCACTAGTGACATGTAGGGGAACACATTTTCTATTGTACCGCCTTGAAGGGGAGATTTACAGTTCTGGTAAAGGGAGAACATGGTTAGAACAACTGTAAATATAAGACATCCTCTAACACAGTCACACATGTGGTAGAGATTCCCTTTAGCCACACATGTCAATGATTATGTACATAACGGGGGTGCCTCTAACACACAGGAGACATCCTTGCTGAGGGGCCTCTAATACACTAACATGGACATGTCACTGAGACATCTCACTGTGGGGCCTCTAATATGCTCACACGGACTTGTCACTGAGGGGCCTCTAACACGCTCACACAGACTGTGTCAGAGACATCTCACCTGGTTGCTTCATCCAGGAGTAGAATTTTTGGGTTCTGAAGAAGGGGAAAAAAGAAATGACCTCATTTGAAAGACATAAATTCTTGGCAATAAGCAGTGACATTCTGACACACGGTACCAGGTTGCTGAGCATGGCAAACACTGTGTTGCATGAAAGCAGCCAAGTCTGTGCAGCATCTGCATAAAGCGTCTGAAGCAGGCAAGTCAAGAGCAGAAGAGCCTGGGACCAACAGGGGAGGAACAGGAGAGGAAGGCCTTGCCTGGGGTGCTCCACGGCACATGGTTTGAGGGGCACACTAACATACCATATACGCAGTTCACTGAACAACATGCGAATTAGGAAAGTATAGCATGTGGATTATTATTCAGTTTTAACAAAGAAAAACACAAACTCTTAAGTGCCTGGGACAAACACATGATAAAAATGCTGGGGACAATTTCAAGTCATTAGCTCATTAGCAAAAAGAAGCTCAGGGACAGAGCCCAGGCCCTGAGTTCAAGCTCCAGGACCAGCACTAAAAAAGAAATGTTCAGAAGCTAGATTATGGAGACAGATGATAGTAAATTTACTAATAGTCACTGAAACACATTCTTAAAATGGTTGAATTTTATGGCATGAAAATAATGCTTCAATAAAGCTGTCTTAAAAAATTCATATAATGAGGGGGAAGGTATCATGACCTTAAAAATAGAATGTCTACAGCTGGGCGCCGGTGGCTTATGCCTGTACTCCTAGCTACTCAGGAGGCTGAGATCTGAGGATAGAGGTTCAAAACTAGCCCAGGCAGGAAAGTCCGTGAGACACTTATCTCTAATTAACTACCAGAAAACTGGAAGTGGTGCTATGGCTCAAGTGGTGGAGCACTAGCCTTGAGCTGAAGAGCTGAGGGACAGTGTTCAGGCCCAGAGTTCAAGCCCCACAACTGACCAAAAAAACCCCAAAAAACAAAAAAAAAAACCAGACTGTCTGATTTTCAGTATGGAAAACTCTTCCCTCTCCTTCCAGAATTCTCGCTGACTGCTTCAAATTTGCACTACTAAATTAGACAAAAATGCACATACATGGTACTGTTTTGATAGTATGAGTTAATAATAATCAGTCTGTTTCTTGATGAAAAGTCCATGTTAAAACTTTCCTCCCTCTGATCACAACCCTACAATATGGGGCTCCCAATACCCAAGATATACTCATTAAATGGGGAACTCCTACCTTATCTTTTACGATTGTCAGCCATATGCCACCCTTCTCCTCCACCCACAAGAGCCTGTATGTTAAAGTTATAGGTTCCCAGTTAAAAACATCAGCTGGATTGCTTCAGGTTTACCTTAAGCAGAGCACGGGCAATCGCAATCCTCTGTTTCTGTCCCCCTGACAAAAAAAAAAAAAAAGCTTAACAAAAATACTCTGGGATAGGCTCTACTAATACTCAGGAGAGGCTTTTCTGATAAGATACAATAATTTAAAGACAGCTTCTTTTAGCTAGTGATGGATTATGAATGGCAGAGGAGAAATATTACATTTTTAACCAATAATCTCAAAATTAATAATTATTATCATAGCTAACATTTACTGAGATTTCTTATATGCCAAGCATTTTGTAAATGTGTTTGTGTGTGTTTGGGGGAAATTGAACCTAGGTCCTTGTCCACGCTGGGCAAGGACTACTACTGAGTGAGCAAGCCTGACCACGTAAATGCACATGCTATGTTTTTCAGTCTTTCAAAAAAATGCCTTAAGGCAGACCCTATAACTCCCATTTTACAGATGGAACACTGAGGTCCAAGGGCGGCACGTCTAGATTACCTAGCTAGTGAGTAGCACAGCATGTCCCTGAAACAATGTGAAAAATTACACATCTGGCATAAGTTGTATGCCTCCTCTTTTTTTTTGGTTGGTCATGGGGCTTGAACTCTGGGCCTGGGTGCTGTCCCTCAGCTCTTCGGCTCAAGGCTAGCGCTCTACCACTTGAGTCACAGTGCCACTTCCAGTTTTCTGAGTGGTTTATCAGAGATAAGAGTCTCACTGGACTTTACTGCCCGGGCTGACTTTGAACCTGGATCCTCAGATCTCAGCCTCCTGAGTAACTAGGATTACAGGCGTGAGCCACTGGTGCTCGGCTGTGTGCCTCCTCTTAACAGAATGTCCAGATGAAGGTAACAAGGAACCTGAAGAGAATGCAAGGTTTTGGTACAGCACTCGAGTGTGGGAGCCCAGGGCTCTAGGAAAGGCTAGGGTATGCACTTCCAATGCTTCCTGTGGCCACTTTGGTCCCCAATCATTCCTCTCCCACGGTGCCTGCTCTCCAACCTGGGAGTACTCCAACACACACACATACACACACACACACACACACACACACACACACACACGCACGCACGCACGCACGCACATGCACACGCACGCATGAAGCTGGTGGCCACCCAAATCCCCTCCTCTTTTTACCTCTACTTCCACTCACAAGAGAATGAGTGGGGAGTGTGGAGACACAGACTTGTGGCCTGCAAGTCTACTCTTTATTTCCCCTCTCCCTCCAGAGACTCTAAGCCAGGTGCACTTGGAATTGTCCAAGACTCACACCTCCTGACCTGGAAGTCCAATCTCACTTTTGACGAGAAGAGCATTTTTGTTTGCTTGTGGAATATCGCTACAGCACCTGGTAGGCAGCATACCCCCAGATGTTCAATGAACTCTGCCCTCACACAGGCACCATCACGAGGGAGGTGCAAAGAAGCCTTTCTCCCAAACTTGCAGCATGGGGGTCAGAGTGTGAAGAGGCACCTGCCCATGTTGTCTGATCTGTCTCTCTATAATTCTCTAGAGTTTCTGGAGGTGAGAAAAATGCTTGCTGTTTCTGGATACTGCTTAGAGGCAGTTTTTGGTAGAAAGTAAACAGGTATTGTCCACATCACAGGAGATTTCAGAAAGTGATGAGGTTACTTTTCCACTCTGGATGAAAACCGTATCCACAGGGAATGATGGATTTTGGAAATGTGTGGAGAGCTCCCTGGAATAAAGCCCTCCAGGGACAAGCGTTCACCCCACAAAAATAGGCAAAACAAGATGCCGGGTACTGGTGGCTCACGCCTGTAGTCCTAGCTACTCTGGAGGCTGAGATCTGAGGATCACGGTTCAAAGCCAGCCCGGGCAGGAGAGACCGTGAGACTCCTATCTCCAATAAACCACCAGAAAACCGGAAGTGGCGTTGTAGCTCAAGTGGTAGAGCGCTCGCCTTGAGCTGAAGAGCTGAGGGCCAGCACCCAGGTCCAGAGTTCAAGCCCCATGACCGACCCAAAAAAACCCCCAAAAATAGGCAAAACAAAACAGAACGTACCCGAGAGGAGGATGCCCTTCTCCCCAACCACAGTGTGGAAGCCCTGGGGGAAGCTCCGGATGAAGGAGGCGGCATTGGCCACTTCCGCCACCCTCTCCACCTGCTGGGCTGTGACAGAGGAAGGGCTAGCCGCACCATAGGCGATGTTCTCAGCAATGGAGCAGGAAAACAACACCGGTTCCTACAAGGTGGAGATAAAACAAGCTTGTCACAAATTCCAGGGCAGATTTCGAGCAATCACTGTAAATGCAGAACTTGGACTAAGAATGACTGCCACTGTCCCAAGGGAAGGGGCTCTTTGCTGGGCTGTGTCCTCCTTTATCAGCTTACCCAAGAGAGGTCTAAATATTCTTAATTTACTATGACCAGGGCTGATCTGGCCATCTCCATTCCTCACCATGCCTGGGAGAAGGAGACATCACAGAAGAACCCTGAAGGGATTGGCCCAGGTTAAGAGTGTCAAACCGCTCTCAGCTCTTTCCTTCTCAGCTCTTTCGCAGCTCTCTCTTTTTCTCTCTTTTTCCCAGCTCTCTTTCCCACCTCTTTCCTAGCTCTCTCTTTCCCAGTGCTTTCTCTCTCTCTTTCCCAGCTCTCTCTCTCCCAGGTCTTTCCCAGCCACGTGGAGGGCCAACATGGCCTGGTGCCAGCCAGAAGAATGAATAAACCTACCTCTTACCTGAAAAAAAAAAAAGTGTCAAACACCTGGGCCTTCCTTTAGGCTCCCAAACCCTGAAGGCTCAAGTCCAGCTACCTGCCTTCCACCAAGAATCTGCTTCCAGCTACTATTTTGAGACACACACAAGTCAGGTGGGACCATGAAATTCCGAAAGGAAGCAAACAGTGCCCACTTGCTGATGTTAGCCAGCTCCTTTCACTGCACTCACGCACAAGGGAATACCTATCAGAGAAAGGCCCGAAGCAGGTGGATACACTGTGTCTGCTGAGCCTACCATGTGATAACAAACCTGGCTGTGACCAAGCTTCCCTGTCCCACATGGGATAGGGAACAGCCTCATCAAAAGGATAGCTGGGAACCGGTAGCTCACTCTTATAATCCTAGCTACTCAGGAGGTTGAGATCTGAGAACCAGAGTTTGAAGCCAGCTTGGGCAGAACAAATCCTTAAGACCTTTAATCTCCAGTCTCCAAGCCAGAAATGGAGGTGTGACTCAAATGGTAAAGTGCAAGCCTTGAACATAAATGTTAAGGAAGATATCCCTGGCCCTGAGTTCAAGCCCCAGTATCAGCACATACATACATACACACGGGGATGGAGGGGGGGAGAGAGAGAGAGAGAGAGAGAGAGAGAGGAGAGAGGGAGTTATTTTCCATTGCAGTAAGGTTCTGCTTTAGAATCTGCAACTTCCCTGCCAGGTGCCCTAGCTCCCAAGAGACATTTGCTTGCAATACCTTAGGCCACCATGCAGGATAATAGCTGTGGCTGGTGATGGACATGGGATCAGAGAAGGGCCATGGAGATTGATTTTTCTTTGCATCTACTCAATTATCTGTGTTGCAAAGAAATACCAGTTCCACTCTGGAGAAAAAGCCAGTGGTTTAGCTGGTAATATGCTGAGCATCAGAAAACAGAAAAAACTTTTATGTGAGAAGAGTTTAACACATCTGATAAACTTCATCCTTCTCTATCGAAAAGTGTGGGGATCAAGAGAAAAAAATAGGGCTGGTAGCTTGACTGGAGTGGCAGAGCATCTGCCTAGCAAGTACATAGCTCTGAATTAAAACCAAACAAGCAAATGAAAGTAGGCTAAAGGAAGGGTGAGGTGAGAGGGAATCCTCTCTGGTTACCTGGCTTACTGTCCCAATCTTGGATCTCAGCCAGACTGGGTTTAGCTGGCGGATGTCATAGCCATCGAGACTGACTGACCCTGTGGAGGGAAGCAGAGGTCACTCACTGTCTGGGCCAGTGACTCAAGAAACTCAGAAAGGCTGAGGGAGACAATTCCACATGCTTGGTTTCAAAGATTGAAAATATTATCAGGGCTGGGGATATGGCTCAGTGGTAAAGTGCCTGCCTAGCATTAACTACAACAGCTAAGTGGTTCCAGGATAAAAGCACAATGTTTTTCCAGGCTCCCACAGCAAGCACGTGGACAGAGAGCAACACTCCAGTCCAGTCAGCTGTGCTATACAAGGAATGCTCCACAGCACACAGGCACCTTCTCTGGGCTGCTGGGCACCCCGGGCACTGGTGGGCAATGTGGGGCACTGCTGGGTGCCCTGGTCACAGCTGGGCAGTGCTGAGTACTCTGCGCACAGCCTTGCCACCTTCCTACCAGCAGGGAACACCTATGGAGGAGCTGTGAACATGGAGAAGTGGCCGAGTTCTGTACTTGAAGTGGCAGGATTCAAGCCATAAAAAGCTCCCTAAAATTTGAGGCAAGCTGTGTCCTTAAGAGTCAATCACACACCAAGCACCACCAGTGGCTCATGCCTGTGATCCTAGCTACTAAGAGGCTGAGATATGAGGATTCCAGTTCAAAGCCAGCCCAGGCAGGAGAGTCCATGAGACACTCTCCAATTAACCACCAAAAAGCAAGAAGTGGAGCTGTGGCTCAAGAAGTAGAGGGCTAACTTTGAATAAAAAGCTTAGGGACAGCTCCCAGGCCCTGCGTTCAAGACCACACACACACACACACACACACACACACACACACACACACACACGTCTTCAGGCCCTGAGTTCAAGACCACACACACACACACACACAGAGTCTTCAGGCCCTGAGTTCAAGACCACACACACACACACACAGAGTCTTCAGGCCCTGAGTTCAAGACCACACACACACGCACACACACACACACACAGAGTCTTCCTGGGCAGTAGCCCACACACACACACACACACACACACACACACGTCTTCAGGCCCTGAGTTCAAGACCACACACACACACACACACACACAGAGTCTTCAGGCCCTGAGTTCAAGACCACACACACACGCACACACACACACACACAGAGTCTTCCTGGGCAGTAGCCCCCCCCCCCCCCCCCCACACACACACACGTCTTCAGGCCCTGAGTTCAAGACCACACACACACACACACAGAGTCTTCAGGCCCTGAGTTCAAGACCACACACACACACACACAGAGTCTTCAGGCCCTGAGTTCAAGACCACACACACACGCACACACGCGCACACACACACACACACAGAGTCTTCCTGGGCAGTAGCCGTTGGCACTGGCAGGTCCCTGCAATGTGAGGACACACACACACACACTACAGTCTCTGGCAGGTCCCTGCAACGTGAGGACACACACACACACACACACACACACACACACACACACACACACACACACACACACACACACACACACACACACACACACACACACACACACACACACACACACACACACACACACACACAGTTTTCCTGGGCAGTAGCCGTTGGCACTGGCAAAGGCTACTGGCCTCTCCAGACAGGCAGGTCAGTTCAGGAGCACCCCTGCCCATGGGATGCTGAGCCCCTTACCAGAAACAGGGTCATACAGCCGCAGCAAAAGTGAGACAACTGTGGATTTGCCGGAACCGCTGGAGCCGACCAGCGCCGTCACAGAGCCTGCTGGGATGGAGAGGCTGAAGTCTTGAAACACAGGCACCTCTGGGCGAGCTGGATAGGCGAAGTGTACGTTCTTAAACTCCAATGCACCCTGGAAGCTCTTCTCACTTAGAGTGGCCCCCTCTGAGGTACAGGAAACAAACCACACAAGGCAGAAGTCACACAGTGCCCCCAGCATCCTGGGAGCAGGGAGAACCCTGACAGAGGGGGCGCTGTACAGCACCCCAGGAGCAGGCAAGGGCCGACCCTCCATCTGCCTTGTGCAGAGCACACTGTGTGCAGTCCTGTTTGATCTTCCAACCCTGACCTCAGCACTGGAACTTTTCTAAAGACACTGCAAGCCACAGGCCATGGGCTACTCCAGCGAGGAGTTAGGGTCTGCCACAGGGCAGCCTGGCGGCACCCCAGGAGCCTTTCCTGGTGCCATTTCTCTCAAGTAGCTGCTGATCAGGATGATCTTATCTACACCAAAAAAAACATTTTGGAAGCACAGTGATGGACAAGGGAGCACTGTATGACAGCCATGAGGCCAGAGGTCTGCTGTGCCCTGGTGCAAACTTGCTCTGGACCATGGGAGACATGCCTGTCTTCTTGCGGGGCTCTGTGCACTGGTTTCTGTCATGCGGGAGAAGGTGGGCCTCTGAGGGCTGCCAAACTGAGGAGCGCTGAGCTATGAGAGTGCTGCAGCCCCAACCCACCACCTGTCACCAGCCAGGAGGTGACAGACCGCTCAGTGTCAGCATCTCCACGCTGCCCCGAGAGCCTTGTCTATAGTAGATTCTCTCCTTCCACACCAAATGCATTGTATATAGTAGATTCTCTCCTTCTACACTGAGAGCCTTGTCTATAGTAGATTCTCTCCTTCCACACCGAGAGCCTTGTCTATAGTACATTGTTGCCTTCCACACCGTCCCTTACAGACATAAATCACTAAGGAGGATCTGTCTGGATGGGCCTCCCATTTGTGCCCTGTCCCATTCTTGCTTCTGTCCTGCCCTGGCTGGTAACCACTGGCTAAAGGGGCCTTAACAGCAAAGATGTGGTCAGCACCATGCTTCCACAAGGTGGGCCTACAGTAAGTAGCATCCCAGTAGCCATCACAGCTTATTACCTTTTTTTCACAGGCTTCTTCCTCTACAACGTGCATGAACCACATTTGTATAGCTGGTCCCTTCAGAGGCAGGACAGGTGCTGGTCTGACTCTCGAAGGCTAGCATCATTCAATCCCAGGAAAGAACATTCCTATCTGAGACTCACCATTGAAAGGGAGCTGTGGCTGTCTCTCTAGCAGTTCCCAGAGCCTCCCGCCGGCGCCCAGACCTTTCATCAGCTCAGAGTAAAAAGAGCTCAGACCTGAGGATGAGAAGACTTGGCATCTATCAACAAAACCAGGAAAGACCACTGATTGTCCTCCCCGCACCAGGAGTGAAGACAGCAATGTGTTTTCAATGCGAAAATTTGCTCCTTTCTGGAAGGAGTTGAGGCAGATGCCCAGGAATTGATACTTGCTTTTCCTTCTGTCTTATACTCTCACATTTCCCTCTTACGCCCAGTTTTCCTTTAGCTTCTCCTCCCAGTGGTGTAGATTTCTAATTTATGAAAGATATAGTTAGCTGAGCAGCAGTGAATGAGTTGGATACCACAGACGAAGTCCACCATGAAAAACACAGTGTTGTGAGATGTAAGCTTATCATAACAGGGATACAAATATTTCAATGCTGTGGTTCTTTCCTTGCTGAGGCAGCAGCTCAGATGTGCTCAAGATTCAACTCTGCCTGTCATCCTCCTTCCCACCATGCCTGTGAGTGAGGAGCCTTTGTGAAGAGCCCCAAATCAACCTCATTAAGGAGACTGATGACATTAGGTGAGCAGACAGCCCTCTGTAGAGTTACTGGGAGGGCAAACCTGTACTGCAGTCTGTAGTTGTGCAGGGGTTAGGGCCAATAGCAAAGAGTCCTAGACTGAGGACATCCTCAGAGAGAACTTCAAATTCAAGAAATGAACAAATACAAAGTCTGCTCTTAAAAAAAGAGAGAGGTTATGCCAATCTCATTTAGTTACTGTTGAATCATGATTTAATAAATGACTCAATACTGTAAGTGCAATGATCTGTATGAAGTATGAGAACTTACATTGAAACATCTGCCCTCAGGTGGGAAGGTGGATGGGAAGGGCGAAGGAGTGGGAATATGAAGTACTTCATATGCATATGTGAAAAAGAAAAGGAGATCTGTTGAAACTGCTGTAAGAAGGGAGAAATTAGGGAGAGGAGGAGTGAATTGATGGGATTACATGCATGAATGCCAATGTCAGAATGTCACAAATGAAATCCTTGGACAACCAATATAGGCTAATAAAAAACCTTTAAAAAGCTATCCAACTGGGCTGGGAAGATAGCTCACTGGTAGAGTGCTTGCCTTGCATGTATAAGGCCCTGGGTTCGATTCCTTAGCACCACGTAAGCAGAAAAAGCTGGAAGTGGTGCTGTGGCTCAAGTGGTAGAGTGCTAGCCTTGAGCTAAAGACCTGAGGGACAGTGTCCAGGCCCTGAGTGTAGGCATGACCCTGCCTCCACACCTTCTCCCCCCCAACCAAAAAAAAAAGGTTAGGGCTGGGAAGGTGGCTCAGTGGTAGAGCGCTTGCCTTGCATGCATGAGACCCTGGGTTCGATTCCTCAGCACATAAGCAAAAAGAAAAAAGCTGGAAGTGGCGCTGTGGCTCAAGTGGTAGAGTGCTAGCCTTGAGCTGAAGAGCTGAGGGACAGCGCCCAGGCCCAGAGTTCAGGCCCGATGACCGGACCCCCCCAAAAAAAAGCTATCCAACTATCCAACTATCCTTTTTATGACACATGGACAATAATGCAAGGTATACAATTAAATTCCTCACCTATGTGACTGATATAAGCCAAAAATTATGTAAAATATAAAAAAGATTTACACTGTCCTCATGCCTGGATGAGTGGCGTCCTTCCTGAGGGAAGATGCTGCAGTGAAGTTCTCATACTCACATGGACCTTTATATTTATAGTCTCAGGCATTAGTTTAGTTGAATTTAAAATGCACCAAGTACAAAACAGACCCATAGGGTTGGAGATGTAGCTCAACAGTCAAACACTTGTTAGTATATACAAGCCTTGGCTTCTATCCCTAGGCACGTGTGCGCCTGAGCACACCCATAAACACACCCCACCAGCACCACCTCCAACAACAAAAAAGATCCACACTAAAGTAGGGTGCCAGTGGCTCACATCTGTAATCCTAGCTATTCAAAAGGCTGATATCTGAGGACTGTGGTTGGAAGTCAGCCTAGGCAGGAAAATCTGTGAGACTTTTATTTCCAATGAACTACCTAAAAGGCTGGAAGTGGAGCTGTGGCTCCAGTGGTGGAGTGCTAGCCTTGGGCAAAAAGGCTCAGGGACAGTGCCCAATCCTGAGTTCAAGCCTCAGGACCCTCATACACACACAAAGGCTTTAAAGAAAAGCAAGCAATTCTGTTCCATAGACTTCACAATTTATAAATATTTGTATTGCTCATTTGAGTATGACTTCATATGAAAGAAATTTTATTCTCCAGTGACTTGCTAATAATGAAACCACTGAGTGTGTGACCACCTTGCTCAACCCTTCCTCCTACTCCTTCCTCCTCCCCTTCTACCCCCTCCTCCTCAATCTGCACATCAAGTGAAAGAAATGTAGTTTCTAAGTAACACTGAGTTGCAAGAGGGCTGGGCGCTGTCCATGAGCTTTTCTGCTCAAAGGTAGCACTCTACCTCTTGAACCACAACTCCACTTCTAACTTTTTCCATGTTTAATTGGAGATAAGAGTTTCATGGACTTTCCTGCCCAGGCTGGCTTTAAACTATGATCTTCAGATCTCAACCTCCCAAATAGCTAGGATTACAGGCATGAGTCACTGGTGCCTGGAATCTTTTTTTTTTTTTAAGCCCAGCACAACTATGTAAGAAACATTTGTTCAGTTGAAAACCTGATTTTTAATATGCATCCCAACCCAACTTAAATTATATACCTCCAATGCTTAATCCAACCCAGAAAGCATACATTAGGAAGGAAGAGAGTTCACCCACTGTCATGTGGGCGGTGTCCATCAGCAGACCTCCCTTGTACAGGACCGCCAGCACAATCAGGTTCCCGGAGAGGCCGGCCTGTTGGGTGAAGGAAACACGGGAGTCAGGTGCAACTAGAGACTTGTCAGGTGCAAATGCATGAGTGAGGCCTCTGGCTTCCTTTGCTCGATATTAAAGTTCATCTGCATGTTAAAAAAGTTTTGAAATATTTGTAACAGCGAAGGAAGTAATCTCATATCATGGAAATCTAGCTACTCAGGCACTCAGAGCCTATTTTACCCAATCCATTCAGCCTGCAAAGGAAAAAAATTAAAGTTCTTCTATACTGAGAGGAAATGGACAAGAACCTGCTGTGTTCACTTGTAGTGGAGTGTTCTCTATGCTGAGGCCAGCAGCCTGCCTCAGCGCCCTGCTTGTCTCTGGCCAGTGCCTTCCCCAGGCTGCTGTCAGTAATGGCAATGACTTAGCCACCTCTGAGGCTCTTTCCAGTTCGGACACACTGTGAACTTGTCTGTAGGGCCATTTTCTATTCAGGGTCCTAGTTGAATACCTTGTGACCAATTTCTGAGATTTCTTTTGTTTGTTAAAATGCCAGTCCTGGAGCTTGAACTCAGGGCCTAGATGCTTTCCCTGAGCTTTTTTATTCAAGGATAAAGCTCTACTACTTGGCCACAGTTCCATTTCTGGCTTTTTGAGGGTACACTGGAGATACAAGTCTTAGGTACTTTCTTGCCCAGGCTGTCTTTGAACCATGATACCCAGATCTCAGCGTCTTGAGTAGCTAGGCAACAGTATGAGGCAATAGTGCCTAGCTGGTATTTCCTTCTGGAAAAGTACCAAAGTTGCCTACTCTTCTACAGGTTTTGTCAAGTTGGCTTGTATCAGGAGGCCTGTCCAACACCTGATGCTGCCTCAGCCTCTGAGGTCCATGTAGGGCTGAGAACCTGCATGGCTGTCCTGCAGCAGGAGAGCCAAGAGCCGCGAGGCTGTTCTGCAGCAGAGCCAAGAGCCGCGTGGTTGTCCTGCAGGAGAGCAGAGAGCCGCGTGGCTGTCCTGCAGCAGAGCTGAGAGCTGCATGGCTGTCCTGCAGCAGAGCTGAGAGCCATGTGACTGTCCTGCAGCAGAGCTGAGAGCCATGTGACTGTCCTGCAGCAGAGCTGAGAGCCATGTGACTGTCCTGCAGCAGAAGCTCACAGAGCTTCCCAGCCCCTCCCTAAAGACCAGTGCCTGCACTTAGCACATACTGCTTTCCCCCTAATCACACATACTTTTCCATTTCTCCTCACAACCATACTACTTACACCATCAAGAATTATCCACTTACTGCTCCAAAGAAGCCGGCCCGAGCAAAGGCCTCCTTCCTTGCTAGCTGTAGCACATGGTCTACTCCACCAGCATACTTGTCTACTTCTGTCGTCTCCTTCCCAAATGCCCGGACAGTTCTTACATTTCCAATGCGTTCCTCAGCTAGCTTGAGGAGAGCAAACACACAGAAGAAGGGCATCACACTTCAATCCACAAGCAAAATTAAAATCTGACTACCATTTAATGCACATCTATGGAAAACTCATAAAACAACTAAATCAGAAGACGGCTACAAAGCAGAATACACCAAAAATTCTATTAACACACACACACAAAAATATATATTTAAGTATGCACACGTAGAAGAGACAATGACAGCTTATAGGCAGAGATGATGATGGGGACAAACATAATAGATTATAGATACAGACAGAGAATAGATATAAGCAGTTATAGGAGACAGATGACAGAAAGGTGGGTAGATATAAATGATACAGGTGATAGGTGAGTAGGTACAGAGGAATAGATTTAAATAATAATTGATGACAATAGATATAGATGGTAGATACGGATGGTAGATGATGATGACAACAGGTGGGTAGATATAATAAGTGGCAGATAAGATAGGCAAGTAGGCAGACAGGCAGAAGGGCAGACAGATAGATGTGTAGACATGAACAGGGCAGCAGAGGTAGAAATGTTTATACAAGGGCTAGGGGCATGGCTCAAGTGGCAGAACACCTGTCTAGCAAGTACAAGGCCTTAAGTTCAAACCCCACTACTACTAAAAATAAAACAAAGACAAAACAAAACAAGAGAAATGTTTATGCAGAGAAAAGCAGATCATGGTTTTGTCTCTTTTTTTTAAATAATATTTTCACTTTTTGTGTGTGTGTTTGAAATGAGGTCTAACTCGCTGTGCTGTCCAGATTGGTCTAGAACTCTGTGCTCAGTGGGTCCTCCTGCCTCAGCCTCTTGAGTAGCTGTGATTACAGATGTGCTCAACTTACTTGCACATTTTTTAGTGATGCACAAATATAGTTTTTGCAACATAACAATGATACCTTCAGTTTTTATTCCATTTATTTTTTGCTGGTTTTTGGGCTTGAACTCAGGGCCTGGGCAATGTCCCTGATCTCTTTTGCTCAGGGCTAGTGCTCTACCACTTAAGAGCCATGGTGCCACTTCAACCTTTAGTTTGTAAAAAGATAGAATTGAATGGTACCACAAAGCTACCTTTATATATGTATCAATGAAGGAAATGGTTGTCTGGAAACCATTTCCAAGCTACTTTTGCTTGTCCTACCAGGGGCAGCAGGAAGTTGGTGCAGCTCTGGGGAGAGGGGACCCACTCTAGTGAGAACTGGTCTCAGAGGTGAAGTACGTCTTGTCTGGACCATGGACTCTAACATGAAGAAAGGAAGGCACTGTTGTGGTTTGTTTTCTGGCTCTGGGGTTTGAAAGGAAGGCATTTCAGCAGCCACACATCCCATTTCTGCCCTGTGGCTTTGCCCCTGCCCAGAAGGAACATGTTCAGAAAAGCCATTACCTGTGTAGCTTGAGCCAACGAGTCCTGTGTGGCTTTGGACAGCTTCCGTAGATATCGTCCATAAATCACGGCCAGGATGGACATCGGAGGCACCACACTCAGAACAAAGGTGGCCAGACTAGGTGAGACAAAAAACTGCCCAAAAAAACCAGTCAAGAGTGTCATGTGGAGATGCACACCATTCTTTTTTTTTTTTGTCTGTCATGGGTCCTGAACTTTGGGCCTGGGCGCTGTTCCTCAGCCCTTCAGCTCAAGGCTAGCGCTCTACCACTTGAACTACAGTACCACTTCTGGCTTTTTCTGCTTTTGTGGTGCTGAGGAATCGAACCTAGGGCCTCATGCATGTGAGGCAAGCACTCGACCACTGAGCCACCTTCCCAGCCCGAGGCACACCATTCCCACCACCCCTGGGCATTGGCAAAGGCGAGCTGGGAGGCAACTCCGAGCTGCATACCTCCTGTTTGGGCACAACTTTTCAGATCAGCTGTGATCTTCTTAAAGCCTCAAGAATATGTAGCATACTATAGAGAACAGCACAGCAGTGAGCTGCTGAAGACAAGATGGAAATGACTCACCCTCAGATCAACCTTACATTGCCAGACCACATTGTTCAACAGCATAGGGTGAAGGACAAGCATCTCAGACCATACCAGGGATTCTAAACTCAAGTCTGGAACACTCATGCTCCTATGACCAGAGCAACATGTCCCACACCAAAAGGACTAACTCCAAGGAGCCATCAAGGCCACCTCAGAGGGCAGCCCAGAGACACTCTAGAAGGATGGGGGTGGGGGGTGGGGGGGCTTTTTCCATGGCCCAGCAGCCTGGAGCTTGTGGGTCTGTGTCTTGTTCAGAACTTCTAACAACTGCCATGATTTCACACAAGAACCAGCTTCAAGAAGTATCAGAGAGGAATTCTGTCAACTTGGCAATTGTTTTAAGTGGTACTAGGGATTCTTCAACATGTTAAAATAACCAGTAGTACAAAAGCACTACAGCCTGCAGTGAAAACTGATGAATGGATAAACCAAATATTTATCTCTCCTTCCTTCCCTCCTTCCTTCCCTCTTTTTTTTTTTTTTCTTCCAATTCCTGGCTTTGAACTTAGGGACTTGCTCTGCCAGAGTTTTCTCTCAAGGCCAGCATTTTACCCTTGAACCACAACCCCACTTTTGGCTTTAGGCTAGTTAACTGGAGATAAGTGTCTCATGGACTTTTCTTCCAGGGGTTGGCTTTGAATCAGATCTTAGGCTCCTGAGTAGCTAGGATTCCAGGCATAAGCCATTAGTTCCCAGCTTCTTTTTGACTTTTTCTTTCTTGGTGTTGGAGATTGAACCCAGAACTCTATGCATGCTAGGCAAGTGCTCTACCACTGAACTACAAATAATCTGAGTGCCAGCACAAAGCAAGTACTGTCCAGGCACTTGAGAAACAACTGTTGGTACATGATTCATGAGTCAGATAATACACAAGGAAAAGAGAGAACAACTTCAGGTTGACCTAGTCTCATAGGCCTCTCTACCAAGGGGAAAGAGCAAATGAAAAGAGGCCTGGAGGCAGGAAACTGCTGGGCCCTTCCCAGGAGCAGCAGCTGTGACTGGGGATGAGCCACAGTGAGGATGTTCTCTAGGGCACCGCGATGACCCCCTGGGAGAGGTCATGTGATGTGTACTGTACATTAGGGCAGGCAGTCCCAAGAACCACCCCTGGTCACGGTGAGCTTCCTCTGGCGGCCCTGGCCCTCTACTCTGCCTCTAGGCTAAATGAAGAACCTGGCTACTAATGCTCCATCCTAGACTGGAATGAAGCATCTGCAACAACAAAAACAGGTCTTCATGAGTAGGAAGGGAAGGAGGAATGCAGTGCCCATGAACTGCCAGTGTAGTTCATGGGGTATGGGCAGAATTAGGTTCTTGTGATGTCAGGCCCAGGCTACAGGGAAACAAAGCTACCTTCAGTTTCTCCTTGATCGAGGTGCCTACCTCAGTGATGCCACCAATGGGTGGGTATGGATATCCCCAAATTTACAAGCTCATGCCAACGGCCACGGAGACTGCGAGTACAGACAGCTCTTAAAGAAATAGCTAAGGGTGAATAAAGTGAAGGTGGGCCATGGACTGTAGGGAATCCCCACAAAGAACATTCTCCTCACTACCCACACTACTACAAAGTAAGATGCCCGCCAGCTACCTGTAAGCCAAGAAAAGCCCAGAATGGCCTTGGATTTCTGCTCTTTGAGCTCCCTGTCTGTGATACCTGGCCCTGGTAACCTCAGCTGGCCGTAATGGGGCCCTGCAAACCGGACATATTAGTACATACTGAATTATCACTCACTGCTATGAGAAGTTCCTCTAGGGTAGGCTTTTCCTGACATCTAGACCTGTTCATGTTGGGAAAAAAGAGTTGAGTTCAGAGAAAGTCTTCCAGAGGTTTCTTTCCTTCCTAGCTAGGAAAATGAGATTTCAAAGCTGCCTTCCATCCCTAGCAGAGAGACTCACCAGGCCCTTCTGCCCCAGGCTTTTGCCGCACAAGATCCTAGCTTTCTTACTCATGAAAAGGTTACAGGAGATGCAGCCCACCAGTGCAAAACTACACTGAAATGTGGGGGGGTCTGATAGAGAAGCTGAATTTTTACTTACTTTTGCTTACTTTAAATTTAAAAACCAATACTTCACTCATTTACTGGCCAACTTAACTCTGCCTGAAAACTTGGGTATAGCAAACTGTTTCACAGTTGTAAACTTTAGCAAATCAAGAATTTCTAATGAAATTGTGCATCCAGCCTGAGATGTCTACAAGTGTAAAATATACACCAGGCTTTGAAATCACAATATGAAGAGGGCACTGGAAAATGTTGCTCTAGTAATTTTTTTTTAAATTGGAGTCTTACTATGTGGCCCGCACTGGTCTTAAGGCCACTGTTTTCCTCCCTCAGCCTCTGTAGTGCACACCAAATCTGGTTCATTACTCATTTTAATCAATTGCATGCTGAAATATTTTGCATACCCTGGGTCAAATAAAATATCCAAATTAACCCTGTCTGCTTCCTTTCACTTTTTGAATATGAACAGTGAAGACTAGATTGCATTCCCAGCTTTTACTTTTTGAATATGAACAGTGAAGACTAGATTGCATTCCCAGCTTTTACTTTTTGAATATGAACAGTGAAGACTAGATTGCATTCCCAGCTCATGCTGTTGCCACAGAGAAGACACTGAGCCACTTGGTGGAGGGAGGAAGACCATGGTGGCTCAGAGACACCCCACCCCACCCGCCTTGCAGGAGCATAGCCTGCACAAGGAGGAGATGGGATCTCTGTTCCTCTGTCCCACTGCGAGACACCCACAGGGCTCCTCTATCTGACTTGAAGCTTCTTCTGTTTTGTTTTCTTTCCTCTCCCTCCTTCTCTCTTTGATGGTACTGAGGTCTGAACTCAGAGGGCCTTTGCTTCCAGGCAGGTTCTCTACCACTTGGGCCATGCCCCAAGTCTTTTTAGCTGTAGGTTGTTCCTTAGAGGTCTCATGTTTTTGAAGAGAGCCTCAGAACATGACCCTCCTATCTACATCTCCTAGGGTAGTTAGGGTTACAGACATGAACAACCACACCTGGCGGGCCTGTTCTGCCTCTGGAGTGGCGGGGGCTGCAGCTGGAGCTCTCCAGGCCTGAATCAAGATGCTCTTGATGCCTAAACTCCCTGGGCCCACAATCCTCAGAAAGCCTGGGACCAAGCAAAGGCCATTATGGAAAGAAACAGCCCGGGAGGCCAAGCAGGAAAGGCAAGCCTTATGCCCAGCCTCCAGAACTTACAGAAAGACAGAAATAGCTTGCCATGAATCTTTCCACACTTCCAAGTCCTGGCTCAGGATTCCCAACTAGAAAGCACGGAGGAAGGAGGTGGACGTACCATCATGCCGATGCCAACCGAGGCCTGGGCCCCAGCCCTGAGCCCATCTGAGAGGTTTTCTGTCACGGAGCGCCCCAGCAGTGCAGTGTCTGAGGAGAGGCGGTTAATCAGTTCTCCTGTGCGGGTCTTGTCAAAGAAAGCAACCTCCTGCCTCAGAATGGAGGAGAAGAGCGACGTGCGCAGCCTGTTCACGATGCGCTGACCTGTGGAACACACAAGAGGGCTCCTGGTTCACTTCTGGGTGGACCCAGCGGGGCGGCTGCCCACTCACCAGCCACCTGGCCTGGGTGGAAGCCCCCGAGCGGCGTGCCTGCTACCGGGGTCTCAGCGGTGGGACGGTGGCTGGCCCTGCATGCCAGCAGCCTCACCTCGGTCAGCACCAAGATACAGTTAACCAAGTTACAGACTATGGATGCCAAAGAGAAGAGATGTGGTAAAATGAACACATCAGGACTCGGAGACCTTTACAGAGTATGAGTTACCAAGAACTTTTACAACGTTACTTTCCAAGAGTTGCTTTATTCAATCCTGGCAGCCCTGTTCTGCACTGGCCCAGCCAGGTGGGCTCGGGCTGAGTGCCCTGGCCTCACTCCGCACCGAGAGGGCCACCTGCTGCTCACAGGCCTCTCCAGAGGGACAGACATTGCAGCCCACCCTTGCTGCATGGTACAGGCAGATGAACACATCCTTGTGGAAGTCCAGGACTCTAACCCATGGCTAGTGCCTGTGAAACCTCTTGTAAGGTAGATGTGGGGTCTTCTCCATGGGTTAACCCTATCTACACAAAAGAATTGAGAAGTCTGACCCAGGAAGGTAATCCATACTATCCGGCCAAACACTGGATGCCAGAAGAGAGGGAGATACCAGATCCTGAAGTAGTGAGGTGTAAGGTCCCCCAGCCCCCCGGGGGTCTCTGCATGTCTGAGGTGAGAGGTCCCCAGATCCCTGGGGGCCTCTGCATGTCTGAGGTGGCTTATCCCCCAAGAGACTGACCTGAAGACTGCATGAGGTAGACACGGACGGCATTGGCAGCAGCGCCACACAGAAACACGCCGGCAAGGCCCAGGCAGAGGCTGGTCAGGCTGCGGCCGTGGTCCACAGCGGGGTCGGTATAGATGACATCGATGATCTTCCCGAGGAAGAAGGGGGCAGACATGGTGACCACACTGGACACAGCCAGAAACCCAACAGCAGCTGCAAGGGAGGGTACATGCTCACACTCGCAGCAGAGGGGAGGTAGGAGGGGTGTGTACTCACACTTGCAGCAGCGGGGAGGTGGCAGGGGTGTGTACTCACACTTGCAGCAGAGGGGATATGGGAGAGGTGTGTGTGCTCACACTTGCAGCAGAGGGAAGGTAGGAGAGAAGGGTGTGTGCTCACTCACACTGGCAGCAGAGGGGAGGTGGGAAAGGGGTATATGTGCTCACACTTGCAGCAGAGGAGAGGTAGGAGAGAGGGTGTGTGCTCACACTGGCAGCAGAGGGGAGGTAGGAAAAAGGTGTGTGTGCTCATACTCGCAGCAGAGGGGAGGTAGGAGAGAGGGTGTGTGCTCACACTTGCAGCAGAGGGGAGGTGGCAGGGAGGGGTGTGTGCTCACTCACACTGGCAGCAGAGGGGAGGTGGAGAGAGGGGTGTGTGCTCACTCATACTCGCAGCAGAGGGGAGGTGCCTCAGTGGCCAAGGCTTTCTTCCTCCTGCCCTGGACCCTGCTAAGTGAAAGACCAGAGGGCTCCAGGCTGAGAAAAGGCAGGAGGGGGAGAGGAATCCATGAGACTCATCTCCAATTGACTGAAAAGTAGGAGGTAGAAGTATAGCTCAGCGGGCCTTGAGTGAAAAAGCTCAGAGACAGCATTCAGGCCTGCGTTCACCCTGAGCTAGCCCCTCACATTTATTTAGTGCACATCCTGTTTCTTCAGTGTTCTGAAGTGCATTTTACCCTTGGTCAAGTTCAACCAACCACAACTGACAGCTCAGCAAGAGAGTGTTACAGTTTTCTGACACAGGATCTGTAGCCCATGGATACACGCATGGATATATTGGACTCCCTAGGGCGGCTCCCACTCCAGAGCCTTCTCCTCCCCATCCCTCAGGCCCTGGCTAAGCCTGGGGCCCCAGCAATCCAAGCACTGTCCCATCCATTCCTTGCTCTGTTTACATGATCTTTGTGAAAGCCACAAACTCTGAAAAATAGTGTAGAAAGACAGTAGCTTGCAAGAATGGTCAGCTCTCAGACCACACAACCCTTGTTCGTAACTCAAGGGAGAAGCAGCCTCTTGGGACCTCCTCGCTGGTCACCTCTTCTTGTGCAGGGACAGTGTCCAGAGGCCCACTGCTCACCAGGAGGGCTACACCCACCGAGGCCTCCTATCTGCCACAAACAGGGCAAGCCTCACCAAAGACCTCCTGTCAGGCAAGTGCACACCCTGCTCCTCCCAAGGTTCCTAGTGGCCAAAACGATAAGAGGAAGAGTTATCCATGCAAAAGGGCTCCAGGTGTCTCTGCAGGCCAAGGATAAGCAGATAGTTGCAATCCAAGGAGCAGGGTCGGGGCAGCAGCAGGCCCTCCTGGGAGACATGCAAACCATGCACACCTTGTTCTGCTGACATTTCAAACAACAGACTCTGGTCTTCAAGTTTCTGACACAAATTACTTCACATAAAAGTTTCCTTACCATACTGTTTGGGCTGCAGACCCAGCAAATTGCTGAAGTTGGATGGAAAGGTCATTACTCAAATACATTACTCAAATACACACCCACACTTTGGGAAAAGGACTTGTGGGTTCTCTAAAAATTAACAAACTACTGCTGAAATTTCTGGTCTTCTTCGTTTTTGGGAGTCTACTTAAAGACACAAAGAAAAACAGATGCTGCCACACAACGGCTGTGCAGCATTTCAGAGGCTGCCCAGTACCAAATACTTCCCAGTGATTACAAAGTTGAAGCCTTGGGAGCTTAAGCGGTAGAGTGTTCCCAAGGCCCTGAGTTCAATCCCCAGTACCACAAAAGGTAAAATAAAGGTATGAAAATCTATATACTGTAGAATGTACAAATATGCCTCACTGGAGGGCACGGCTAGAGGTAGAAGCACCTGCCTAGCAAGCACAATTCTGGCTGAGTTCAAACTCCAGTACCACCAAAAAAGAATTTGCCTCACTTAAAATTTTTTAGAAACAGTGACACCCATTTCCCCTAAATCTCTCATTCAGAGTGACTTTAAGGTTAGGCATAAATATGACTTCTTTTTTTTTTAACTATTTTTTTTATTTTTATTATTTGGTTTTTTTTGTCGGTCATGGGGCCTGAACTCTGGGCCTGGGTGCTGTCCCCCAGCTCTTCAGCTCAAGGCTAGCACCCTACCACTTGAGCCACAGTGCCACTTCCGGCTTTTTCTGCTTATGTGATGCTGAGGAATCGAACCCAGGGCCTCATGCATGTGAGGTAAGCACTCTACCACTGAGCCACCTTCCCAGCCCCATAAATATGACTTCTGAGGAAAACTTAACTTTAGAAAGAATTTCTCAGCTAGGCACTGGTGGCTCACACCTGTAGTCCTAACTACTCAGGAGGCTGAAATCTGAGGATCATGGCTTCACGCCAGCCTGGGCAGGAAAAACTTTATGAGACTCTTATCTCCAATAATCCACCAGAAAACCAGAAGTGGTGCTGTGGGTCTACGCAAGCCTTGAGTGAAAAAGCCCAGGGTCAGTGCCCAGGCCCTGAGTTCAAGCCCCATGACCAATTAAAAAAAAAGGATTTCTCATCAGATGTCTTAAAAATAGAACATGTATTGGTTACCTGTTTAAAAATAAAAATCCTAGCACCTGGGAGGTAAGATGGTCTCAAGCAAGTGCAAGGCCAGCTTATGATACATTTTGGGAGAAAAAAATGTAAGAAAGAAATTAATGTACCAGCTTTAGGACTATTTTTCAGATAACTTCAGGGGTTGGTTGAAGGGCTTGAACCTTGAACTCAAGGCCTGGGTGCTGTCCCTGAGCTCTTTTGCTCAAGGTGAGCTTTCTACCATGTTGAACCACAGCTCCGCTTCCAGGTTTTGAGTGGTTACTTGGAGATAAGAGTCTCACAGGGACTTTTCTGCCCAGGCTGGCCTTGAACTGAGATCCTCAGATCTCAGCCTCCTGAGTAGCTAGGATTACAGGTGTGAGCCACTGGTGCCTGGCTTATTTTTCAGATTTTATGCTCAATATTTCACCAGTACAGCCCAATATGGTTCTGACACTGAAAGCAGAGGTCTTAAGGCATTCTGTCTGGCAGGACATGTAGGGACAGGTAACAGGTCACAGGGACAAAGGTCATGGATAAGCAAGACCTGAAAACCACTACATCTTAGTTTTAAAAACAGAAAAATGGGTTTCCCCACAGACTTCTCCCATTCTGGGCATCTAGTGTTTAGATTGTATCTGAGCCTGGCAGAATTCCATCTATTCCTCTCCCTCGGGACTCCAGACTTTGCAACACACAGACCAACAGACAGACAGACACACACACACACACACACACACACACACACACGAACGAAGGAGTCAGGACCAGGAATGAGATGCAGCTTGCCTCAGCATCCCAGTGCCATGAAGACCACCATCTCAGAGTCTTTAAAGACAGCAGAGGAAAGGTTCCCCTTTTCCATCAAAATCTGCAACCACAATCCAATGGTTAAGGTTACTGACTCCCTTTACACCTCAATACACACCAGGGGTGAAGTTATCCTGCCACAGCAGTGGGCCGTGGGCCCTGGGGTCCTCCTCTGCAGAGGAACTTGTCCCCAGGTCCTACCTCTCCCTGGGAGGACGAGTTATGAGTGGGCTCTCTCACATCGGACTGGGACAGGACAACCTCCACAGGCCCTCTTTCAAAGTTTTCACTGGGATTTTGGGTTTTCTCTCCAGTTATGACTTCCTTGGTGTTCCTTCCCACGGTGGCCTGGGGGGGGGGGGGGAGGGTTCTGCTTGACTGCATAGCCACATAGCAGAGTGCAGCCTATCTTCATGAAGATTCATAAGACTTTCAAAACTCTAGCTCTGGGTACTAGTCCTTACATTTAAGCATCAATCCAATTAGGGTTAAAATGAGCTGTACAACGTATTTTATTTGGATGCTGTTTCTAGAACCAATCACCTGATTTCTTTATTACATAAATTACTGCATCATGATAAGTTGGGTTACAATTTAATTTCTCCCTGCAGGGGCAGGCCCACGGTTGACTGGTCACTATTTAACAAGGTGACAGATAGCCTGTCGACTGCCAAATAAGCTTTCCTAACTCTAATTTTTAATTTTTGGTACCCATCCTAGGGCTTGAATTCGGGGCCTAAGCACTGTCTCTGAGCTTTTTTGCTCAGGGCTAACACTCTATACCACTTGAGCCACTGCTCCACTTTCCACTTTGGTTGGTTAATTGGAGATAAGACTCTCCAGGACTTTCCTTCCCAGGCTGGTTTTGAACCTCCATCCTCAAATTTTAGCTGAGTAGCTAGGATTACAGACGTGAGCCACCGGGGCATCGGCTGTGTGTTTGTTTGTTTGTTTTTGTAGTAGTATAAACCAGTAAAATGAAGAAGGTAGCATGCAGTGGTAGAAAACGACCTCGGGCAGGTTTGACCGTGAAGTTGGGGCCAGGAGTCAGACCCCAGGCCCAGACCCCAGACCCCAGGCTTCAAACCCCAGAGCCCAGGCCCAGAGCTCAGGCCCAGACCCAGACCCCAGGCTCCAGATCCCAGAGCCCAGGCCCAGAGCCCAGGCTCCAGACCCCAGAGCCTAGGCCCAGACCCCAGCCCCCAGCGCGGGCCCCTCCTCGGCGGTGCCGGCGCTCCTGCCCCGACGACGGCCGTGCCCCGCGCGCCCTCGCTCGCGGCTCCTACCTGACAGCCTTCCGCGCTCGGGACGCACCAGCCCCAGAAGCCTCCGGGCTTCCGAGCGCCGCCGCGAGGCGTCTGCGATGTCCCCGGCCTCGGCGGCCGGGCCGGTCTGCAGCCGGGCGCGCGGAGGGCACGGGGCGGGACGTGGGACGAGCGCCGCATTCCGGGGGACGCCGGAGGCCCCGGCCCACCGTCCCAGCGCCCGCGCCAGGCCCACGCCGCCCGGCTGCCCCGGCCGAGGCGGTGGGGCGGCCGGGGTCCAGACGCGGGCGGCCGGGGTCCAGGCGCGGGTCCACGCTCGGGCGGCCGGGGCCCAGGCGCGGGCGGCCGGGATCCACGCTCTGGCGGCCGGGATCCAGGCGCGGGTCCAGACGCAGGCGGCCGGTCCCGGGCCCAAGAGCAGCAGCGGCGGTGCCCAGGCTGCGGGGCCGGGCATGGCGCCGCGTCCTAACCCGAGCGCCTCTCCCTCCGGGCCGGCCGCGCGCCCAGGACGCTCCGGGCCCGGCCCCGGCTCGGGGCGTGGACGCCACGCAGCCCGCCTACCGGACGCCGCCCGCCCACCTGCGCCGCCCGCCCACCGGGCCGGCACCCCGGGCCTCGCCCTCGGCCCAGCGCGGTCCGACCCCTGGCGGCGATTGGACGGCGCTGGAGCCTCGCCGCGGGGCCGCCGCTCCTCCGGCTGCGCCCGGAGCAGTCCAGCGGCGGGCGACACTCGAAGCCGGGGACCGGCCCGGGACGGTGGCCCGACAGCGGGCGTCGGCGCGGTAGGGGACGGAGCCGAGGGCAGGCGCGGCGGCCCCCGACGCCCGGCCTCGAGCTCCCGGGCCGTGACTGCCAGGGCGGGGCCCAGAGCTCGGGCCGTGGACCGCTCCACCCGCCGCTGCCTGCCTTCCGACACTGCGCGCCTCGCCCGTCCCCGACCCGCCCGTCCCCCGACTCTGCCTTCAGCCTTGGCTTCCCCTCACCCGGTCCCTACAGCCCCAGTCCCCCAAGAACCGCAGCCTCGATCCCCGCCCAGTCCTCACCCAGTCCCTGCCCAGTCCTCACCCAGTCCCCGACCAGTCCCCAACCATTCCTCGCCTAGTCCTCACCCAGTCCCCACCCAGTCCCGACCAGGAAACTTCTTACAGGAATGGGCAGTGGGGCTGGAAGGTGGCTCTGTGGTAAAGCGCTTGCCTTGCATGCATGAGGCCCTGAGTTTGATCCCTCAGCACCACATAAGCAGAAAAAGCCGGAAGTGGCGCTGTGGCTCAAGGGGTAGAGCGCTAGCCTTGAGCTGAAGAGCTGAGGGACAGCGCCCAGGCCCAAAGTTCAAGCCCCACAACAAAAAGACAAAACAGGAAGTTAGTACTTCTCTTCAGTTTACTGGTCTGCTTTAAAATGTTAGTTTATATTACTTCTCACCATCACTGAACCTTTTCAGCACGTCCTTAAATTTTACCCCAGGCAGGTGCCTCTGAGACGGGACAATCGCAGCAGGGGGAGACCCCTCAAACCAGTCTAGAACAGACCAAGAGGTACGACCAGGGTCCCACAGAGCCTAAGTGTAGTGTGGTGGTGACTCTATGGCTTGATCCTTTGGAGGTAGATGTCACCATGGATCATCTCTGCTCCTTTTGAAGAAGTAGAATATTCCCCACACAGCAGCACATCCTGCAACTGCTGAGCCCAGCCTAAAACCAACCTTAGATGGTGTCCGTAAGGTCTGCACAGAGACACCTCCCTACCTCTTGGCTAAGTTTCTGCCCAGTATCTGTCACCTAGGTAACTGGCAGACCTGGAAGCAGTCACCTTCCCCTCCTGCTAGGTCACATCTTGGGCCATCTCTGGTCACATGCCAGTCACTGTCCAGATCTAGTGTGACCACACCTTTCCCCCACCTGGCCACACCTCTTCCTGTCCCTGGCCTAGAAAAGTCCTGGCCCAGGGGTCCATCTGCCTTTTCAGCCATGCTTCTCCACCATGAACCGCGCTTCTCCATCATGAACCGCGGGGGCAACAGTTCGGTAAATTTCTTCTCCTGCCTGAATAGCGCATGGTGTTCTCTTCACCGGCTACCTAATTAATTTAATATACCTTACAGTGTCCTCTTGGCTGGAGAAAAAAAAAGACCATTTTTAAAACTCAAATCTAAGTTTCCTCTCCTTACATTGCAGAGGGCCAGGGGATGGGACTGTCCTTTGACACACCCTTCTCCAGCATGGAGTATGCCAGGCTCTCTCAGCTCTCAGCAAAAAGTTGAAAGTAGAGGTGTGGCTCAAGTGGGAGCATGTTGGCTTTGAGCGCCCACCCTCTCCCTGCTCACACCCAGTGAGACAGGTCCTGAGTTCAAGCTCAACAAAACCAAAACATGTTTGAAGTGGTGATATTTACCTGTAAACTCTAGCACTCAAAAGGCTGAATTGGGTGGGTGTTCAAAGCCTACACAGTGAGTTCTAGGCTGACCTGGAGTACATAGTGAAACTTGGCTTAAAAAAAAAAATTCCTTGGCCTTTAAAAGGGTGAGGGGGCTGGGAAGGTAGCTCAGTGGTAGAGCGCTTGTCTTACATGCCTGAGGCCCTGAGTTTGATTCCTCAGCACCACATAAGCAAAAAGAAAAAAGCCAGAAGTGGCACTGTGGCTCAAGTGATAGAGTACTAGCCTTGAGCTGAAGAGCTGAGGGACAGCGCCCAGGCCCAGAGCTCAGGCCCCACGACCGGACCCCCCCCCCAAAATAAATAAATAAAAATAAGAGTGAGAAATACTTTAAGATATGTTAGGAAACAGAGAGGCAAGCTGCTTAGACACAGTTGGGTTAGCAAGACAAAATACCAGAACACAAGGAAGGGCTGTGTATCAATGTCCTTAGAACCAAGTAGAAGTCCTGCCCACAAGAGGAATAGCTAACCCAGAGGTAAAATCTGGTCCTAGGTAAATAGGTGCAGATTGGGCCACAGGTGTGGAATTGGGACCTCTTGAAACTTGAGAGCAGTTTGGTTACTTCCAGAGCATTCTGCTTGTGCCAGAGACTCTAAAAGGTCAAAGGACAGCAAGGTGGCCAGCCCAGGTGGACAAAGGAACGACTGGTGGAACCAACACACAGAAGGCAGCAGCAGCTGGGTAAAGCTGGGTAAACACAACTCTCTCAATCCTTTTTTGTTCTTTTTTTTTTTGTATTTGGCTGTCTGAAGGGCATTTTCTTTTTTTTTTTTTTTTTGTGAAAATACTGTACAGAGGGGTTACAATTACATGGGCAAGATAATGAGTACATTTCTTATCAAGCATTGTAGCCTCCTCCTTTGTTTCCCCTTTCCCATCCTCTCCCCAGCCCCCAACCAATCCTCCTCCCCCCACTCCCCCCCACCCAAAGTTGTAAATTCGACTTGTACATCTCATTGTTGCAATGGATCCACCTGTATCCCTATTTAAACAACCTGTTTTTTTCCCTTCCCCTCCACAAATTATACCGACATCAAATACAGTGAAAGCAGGGGTTATACCGTAGGGGAGGGACATATAAAGCAACAAAGAAATAATCTTATAAATGTGTTAGAAACAATCGCACGAAAGAAAAAAACATTTGAATATATATCTTAGGGTTCATTTCCCTAACATCAACTTATCTGACCTTTTCTGCTTGACTCAGACATATACTAGTTATTGCAAATAAGGAAAACATGGGACCTATGTTTCTTTGGGCCTGGCTTACTTCACTTTATATAATTTTTTCCAAGTCTTTCCATTTCCTAACAAATGGGGCAATGTCATTCTTTCTGATGGAGGCATAGAATTCCATTGTGTATACATACCACATTTTCTTGATCCATTCATCTACTGAGGGGCATCTGGGTTGGTTCCATATCTTAGCTATGGTAAATAATGCTACAATAAACATAGTTGTGCTGGTAGCGTTAGTGTGGTCTTGTTTGTGAACATTTGGGTAAATGCCCAAAAGTGGGATTGCTGGGTCATAGGAGAGCTCTATGTGGAGTCTTTTGTTCCAAAGTGGTTGAACAAGTTTACCTTCCCACCAACAATGCAGTAAGGTTCCCTTCTGTCCACATCCCCTCCAGCACCTGTTATTAGAGTTCTTGATTATAGCCATTCTAACTGGGGTGAGGTGGTATCTCAATGTTGTTTTGATTTGCATTTCTTTTATGGCTAAGAAGGTTGAACATTTCTTCATGTGTCTATTGGCCATCCTTCTTTCCTCTTCAGAGAAGTTTCTTTTTAAGTCTTTATCCCACTTATTTATTGGGCAGTTGTTTCTTTGAAGATTTGTTGTTGGGGGATTTAATATTTTGAGTTCCAGGTATATTTTAGATATGAGACCCTTGTCCATTGTATGGCTAGTGGAGATCTTCTCCCAATCCGTGGGCTTTCTATTGATCTTGCTATTTCCCTTGCCATGCAGAAGCTCTGCAATTTCATGCAATCCCCTTTGTCCAACCTTTCTTTGATTTGTTGTTTCTGGGTCTCTATTAAGAAAATTTCAACCTATGCCAAGGAGACTCCCTCAATCCTTTTTAGTACCTTTCTCTTGCAGTAACTTAGGCTCACAGCTCATGCTCTGGAGGGCAGTGAGACACCAAGCAGAAGTGTGCCCAGGCTGGCTTTGGACCATGATCTTCCAATCTCAGTCTCTGGAGCAGCTAGGATTACGTGTGAGCATAAACACCAACTGTGTGTATGTGTGTGTGTGCCAGTCTTGGGGCTTGAACTCAGGGCCGGGGTGATGGAAAAATGACTTGAACTAAAGATATTCACCTCTCCCCTCCATATCTTAAAAAACCAGCACGCATCATCTCCCATCCCCTGCCCTCTCCCCACATATGTCCTGCAGCTGTAAGAGACAACCTGTGGACACTACTGCACAGAGCCCCTTGTTTCCATTATGCCCACTTCCTATGACTGACTCACTTCACTCTCAACTCTTGTTAGAGGGTGTGCCGTGGCTTCTCCAGTCTGCCTGGAAGACTAGTGTCCCTCTCAGAATTTCACCCCTGAAATGAGTCTGTTGGTCGGTTGAGTTCATGTTTTGCCCTTTATTCTGATACTGATGACTCAGTTTCCTTACATTGAGTGCTGTCCTTGAGTATTTGTGCTCAAGGCTAGCACTCTACCACTTTGAGCCACAGCTCTATGCCTGACTTTCTAGTAGTTAACTGGAGATAAATCTCAGACTTTCCTGCCTGAGCTGGCTTTGAACTGCAATCCTCAGAAATCAACCTCCTGAGTAGCTAGGATTACAGGTATGAGCAACAGGAGTCCAGCTTTGCTTGGCTTTCTTGATCATGGCTAGTACTCTACCACTTGAGCCACACCTCCAGTCTCACTCTTTGCTGGTTAATTGGAGATGCATGTCATTTTTCTGCCTAGGTTGACTCTACCATAATCTTCCAAACCTCAGTCTCCTGAGTAGCTAGGACTACAGTGTGAGCTGTTCATGGCTGTTTT